GTTCTATTTACTTTGGAGGTCACTTCTCCTTTCCTCTTTATGCAATATAAGCAAAACCCACCAGGGCAGAGCTTTGATCTATAGGCGGTCACAAACCTCATTAAAACTGACAGGCACTCTGGCCATGCTTTGTTCAGGAAGGAGCAATTAAGTTCTTTCAGGGCATAAGATAGCTAAAACCTAGAAACCGCTGCCCACGGTACAGGGCTACATAGGCAAGTGCTAAGATGAGCTGACTCGTATGAGCAAGCACCAATTTGGAGAAAGTCAGAGAGACTTTTCTAGGGACTGCTTGCGAACGCAGCAGCTAGAGCACAGATTGGTTGCAGCTGTGTTTGCCTGTGTGCATGTCTGAGACCGGAAACACCACGCAAGAGCCAGCAGACAGTGGGAGAAGCAGTGGTGTATGGCCCTGAGAAAAAGCCAAGGGACAGCTTCTGGGCAGGCATCCTGGCTAGAGCAGCAAACTTGGACTGCCGCACAGTACTCCCTCCCATTTGCTTCCTCTGCGTGCAAGGAAATGGGACGTGGCTGTACATTCTTTGTAAATAAATAAGATTTTGCTAAGGAGCTAACTGAAATCGTCATCGATCCCCTCCACCCCCCTCTGCAGGAAAATTTGGCAAAGTGCTGAATATTAGTTAGCTGTGTGGTCAAAGTTCCATAAGTAAAACTAGAGAGCTTCTTATTACTGCTAAAATAGTCACCAGAGACCCTGCAGATATCAAGGCAGTCTCTGAAATTCAGACCTCAAAACAGTAGTTGATAATTTCAATCACTGATGATCCTTCGTGGATTTTAATGCCTGGTATTTCTACAACACATATTAAAAGTAGCTTTTATGGAACAATAACAAGAAATTGCTTTCTCTGATCCCTCATTTGGAATGTTTAATGAAGTCCAGATGTATCTGTTGAAAAGAAAGGTAGTCAGATGTGATATAGCTGTGAAATGTTTATATATTAATAAGGTATTTGATACACAGAGCTGTTTTGAATAGTTTCTTTATTTGTGTTATTTTACAGTGTCTTCTTATTGTGCTGCTATTGGCATCAAAGCTCTTGCAGATTTATGTTCATTTTTAGGTACCTACAGCAACTACATTGTCTACCTCAAATTGAGGGTATGCTCCCCCCAGCACAGCTGAATAAAGCAGCGTCCTTCCAGAAGTCTCTGTCCTGACACTGGAGTGTACTGTCTGTGTGCTCTGATACCTCTGTAACAGGACATGAAGCCTTAGCCTCCTTCAGTGGAAAGTAAAAGGCAGGTTCACAGCCAAGAATAAGACTGTAAAATTCCCTCAATTCACCTCCTTTCCTTGGAGTTTCACCCTAGGAGACACTTGAAATCTGACAGGTCTTCGGTAGCATGGCTTCAGAGGTGCCTTACTGATGGGGAATACAAACTTGGGAGAAAGAGAAGGCAGCTTTTAATTCCAGCTACATTTATCAATCAGTTCTTCTCCAGCACAGCAGAGCAGGTACCTGGGGCCTGGAACGAGCAGCTGGTGTGGGCAAAGGGCAAGGCTGTGTTACTTTTGGCAGTAGCGCTGGCAATAGCTGGCTGGAAGCATTTGGGAAATTATGGCCTGTGGGGACACTTCTGGTTTATGTGTGTGCAGGCTGCCACCAAAACAGGCCCTCTTTCTGGCTCATCCTGGCACTGGTGTTTGTTCGGCCGTGGGATCAGCTGGCTGCCAAAATTGATCCTCCTGAAAACTTTTTTTTTTTTTTTGGTAAACTGGATTAGCTTTCAGCTCTGTTGGCAACTGTATCTGGCCTAACATGTGGCTGCACAAATGTTGGAGCCAGCAGAGAGGAGGCATCAGGAAAGCATGACTAAGGGAAGGGGAAAGGATGGAATGATCGCTTTTGCCAGTAGCACAGTCTCATCTTGGCTTAACCTGGCAAGAATCTGCCTGTCAGGGTAGAATTACCTGTTACAGCTTGAGTCACGTTAATGGCTTGCTTCCATGGAAAGGGAAAAATCTTGTTCCTCTTTTCCCTACTCCTCTGATGTTAGACCTGATGATTGTCTAATCTTGCACTGAACTGGTTTAACTCGTTGAATCAGCAGAAAACTCACCTTGGGAAAGAAAAGGGAATAGCGTTCTGCTTGGCTTAGTGGGTAGAATCAGCTCAGTGGAGCATCTGTGGAGCCTGGCAAAGCTGGTCCAGGCAAGGAGAGCAGGAGCTGTCAGCTCTAAAGTTGCTGACTGAACAGAGCTTCAGTCTCAGAAATATCCTGTTACAACACTTACTAGAAGAGCTGTGATCTGGGTTCTCTGTAATTTAAAGATGACAATAGGCAATATCACTTTGTCTTACAACAAACATGGTGTTTGTCTTGAAAAGCTGGAAGTTGACACTATTTTATAATTCATTCCAAATTCCTGCCCCTGTATTTTCAACGCTCCCATGGCTAAGTGACATTTATCCTAACACTTCCCTTCAAGCTGGGCCTCTCCTTTGAGCTTAGCTTTTGCTTGGGTTTGTGTCTGTATTAGATAGGGAAATACTGCCACAGATATACTAATGCTCTTTTCCATCAGCCAGAACTTTTCTCTGAAGTTTCAACAAATGGCCTTTGAAGCTGCTGTGGGAAGACACTGTGCTCTCAAATGCAGGAATGCAAGCTTATAAACAAGCTGCTATTGAAACTGCTGCTATTGAAGCAACAAAGAGTTCAGAGGAGGACACTTAAGTATGGAGCTGGCTAGACAGTGTTTCTGTGCACCAAGCACAGAAATCCCGTGCTGTGTTTGCCCAGAAGTTTAAGCTTTCATCTTTGACAGAAGAAATCCCAGACCATTTTATAGGTGCACCTAATGAAGAGGAGATATCCCAGGTGGGCAGGTGTCTGCTCTTACATTCATACAGCTCCTTCTTCATTTATCAGGAGACAGAGTAGGACCAGCCCAAAGAATTATGGAGAATAAAATGTACTTTAAAAAAATCAGGAAAAAAGTTATATATGAAATATATGAACTTAATAATGAATGAGAAATCTAAAATGCCATGTTGTTAGTCTTTAACCTTATGATTAATCCTTAACCATAAAATTACAGAGAAGATTAGTAAAACTCAGGAATTCTTGATATACAAGTGGCTGTTAGGAAGGTGTAGACAAGGGATTACTCGGCAAACATAAGCGTGCAAGCATTGGGATGCAAACTTGAATGCAATTTGGGTGGCTGAGGAATGGATTGAGCTATCACTTTTCAGAAACTCTCTGGAATTACTTGCTTTTAATAAACAGCAAATAAGATGCTGGACAGTTAAGAAGGCATAAGCAGGACACTGAAATGTGCCTGAAGGTCTTGATTGCTTTTGTGTAGCAACTCTACCTCCTGGGGCCGTTCTCCAGTAGATAGTGGGTGAAATGCCCAAGTGTGTGAGCACTCTGAAGGAGATTTTTAAAAATGCTTGTCCTTGGTCAAACTGTTCCCAGTGAGTCCAGCTGAGCAGGCAGGCCAGCTTGGGTGGAGGCAGCAAGGAGGGAAGTGAGGAAGAGATCTTCTTCTTCTGGCTGCAGTAAATTGGGGAAGCATAGCCTCGGCATGTTATTGAATGGCTTTTAAGATATGGATTCCTAAATAATCAGAAGAAAGATGTCAGATGCACAAGGAAGCTTTATTTGATAGAAGTACAGTCTGGCCTGTGATGTCACTTGTGCGGGTAGTCATTGAGGGGAATGCTCTCCCCTGTGCTGATGAGTGATGTGACTGCAGTGGGTGCAGAGTAGGGGAGTGAAGGGATGCAGCAGGCAAAGAACATGCGTTTTGGAACAGTTTTGATGTAGACTTTCACAAAGTCCAACTTGAAAGTAAGTTCAGTTTGGCTTTGATGTGAGACCTGTTATATTGACTGAGAACTCACAGAAGGACTGCAAAAAAGATACAAATAAAAAAGGTTCTCTGCGGTTTCAGCACTTTCAGACACAGTTTTGTAGTCCTGTAACTAGAAGGTCCTCCCCAGGTGGAGGTGGGATCCCTCCTGCTCCCTCTCCCTGAGGCTGGTCAGAAGACCTGCAGAGGTTTGACAGGCCACATTACTCTCCAACAGATTCACCGGCAGGAAATGGTACAACCAGTGCGTTAAAGCAAAAAGAAATGAGTCTCCGTCCTATTACGAAGCGCATAAGGAAATCTGTCTGAAGTAATTGTTATTTTAATAAGTGCTTTCAGGAGGTGGAAGATGCTCAGCGGGATTGCCACCCAGCAGCGCCCTTCCTTAGGCTGTGCAACGTGTGCCTGTGAGAAGCATCCTGAAGTCTAATTAGAGAGTTAATAAACATCTGACACCCGTATATATCTCGGCGGAGGAACAGGCTGCAGCCTCGGCAAGCGGCATCTCCCCGCCAGCCCCCTCTCCTGGCAGCCCCGGGGGCTTTCCGCGCCGCTCGCGGGCAAGCCAAGGGGAAGGAGCCGCAGCAGCTCCTGCCCCGGGGCTGGATCGGCGGCCGCGGGCCAAGGTGGGTGGAACGGCGGGGCAGCAGCTCCCGACCGATCGCTCCCGGGGGCCGGAGCGGGGGCCGGGCGGGCGGAGCGGCGGGCCCGGAAGAGGGGGAGCGGCGCCGGGCGGGGCGGGGGCCCGAGGCGGCCGCTGCCCCACGCTGTCCGCGACCCCGGCCGGCCATGGTGAGTAGTGGGGCCCGGGGAAGGCAGGACGGGCGGGCGCGGCCGGGGGCGCGCAGGCCGCGGCTTTGTGAGAGCGGCGGCAGCGCCCGGCCCGGGGCCGCGCCGCGATCGCGGCCGGTTCCGCTCGCAGCCGCCCCCCCGTGAGCCCCGCTGTGTTTGGCGGGTCGCGGGCGGACCCCCAGGGCCGCCCCCCCCGGCTGCGGTGCCGGCGGAGCGCGGGGAGCCCCAGGGAGAGCAGGGCCGGCGGCCGGCTGGAGCGCCATCGTTAAGGGGGATTCCCCGCTGGGATCGGAGGGGGTGTAACCAGAAGCAGCGAGGGAACCTCTGCCTGGTCAGAGGCACGGGGAGGTAAGCGCGGGCAGCCCCCGCGCTCGGCACGTTGTCAAGCCCTGTGGATGAAGCGGTGTTCGTGGGACTGTAGCTGCACTCTTGTTTCTCCAGGCCTTTCTCGCTCTCTTGAAACTGCACTGAACCGAAATTGCTTATTTCTCCAGGCCTCTCTAGCTTTCTAGAGGCTGCACACATTGGATCTGCCTGGTGCTCCTGGAAAAATTTTTGGCCATGAAATAACACTTTACATGCCATTGCAGGAAACTTGTAATTCAGGACTTGTCTTTCTGTTTTGTTTGAAGCTTGGTGAAATTTTGGTTTTGCTTTCAGTATGCTGCTGGCTGATAAACCCGACTTCTGTGCTGAGGAGCATACTAAATTAATTTCTCTTTGGAGCGTGGGAAAAAGCTACTGTGGTTGGTTTTGCATTTATGGTTTGATGTGTTTTGCCATTCTTTTTCCTAATGATAAAACTGTGCAAATTGCTCTTTCTGATGGATGACATCTGTTGGGTTTGTACCCAGAGATGCTTTTGGTTTATGTGCTACAAGGGCCGTCCAAACCTGGATCAGAAGTTACACAGAGAAGTTCCCAATGGAGAAGTTGAAATGTTGCTGTAGTTCTTCACACAAATACCAGGTTGCTAAGGGATGTGTCAATCCACAGACAATTTATTCTCTGAAATGTATGTCCTAAAGAAGATGGAAGTTCATCTGACCCAACCAGTCGTACAAGTCTTCACTACTTTTGGTTTGGTGTTTTTGGTGTTGTTGGGTGGGGGGGGAAGCTCATAAACTTGCCTTTTTTTTTTTTTAATCCAGTGTTTTTAATGATGTTGTATAAAGGTGTTGAAATTCGGTTATATTTATAAAGCATAATTATTTAATTGGATAAGTGGAGTTGGAGTGCAACAGGACAGTTTTATTTGGATCATGAAGCCTTTCTGTGTGTGTTTTTTGTATTTTTTCGTAGTGCGAAAGTCTTCAGTGTTTGTCCTGCACTTTTGATGGGATCTGTTGTAGTAAGCATTTTCTGCAGTGGTTTGCAGTCCTTGCTGTCAGGCATTTAAAGCTGCTTTTCCAGTTCCCTAACTGGGATGTAAAATCCTCCCTGGTAAAGGAGATGAACCAGAGCAAATACTTTCTGCACTGTGAATTTCCATTTACTAAAAGATGGAGAAGTGTCGTTTTGGTTTTGTAGTTATTATCCTCTTAACACATGAGCAAAACTGATCTTTGTGCTGCTAAAGTTGTGGCTAAAAGCTGTGACTACAAGTTGGAAAGAGAGGGGTATTCATGAAGAGGAAGACTCGAGTATATGGACAAAATCATCATCTTCCTGTGATCCCATTATTTTTAGCAGTAGGAAGAAGATGGAATAGAAATGTTGCTTGTTTGAGCATCAAGAGGTGCTTCAAAACCAGATTCTTCTTGCAGAAAATGAGGTTTCTGAGTGGGACCTGTGGGCTTACAGGAAACAACCTTAAGTGGTAAATGGAGTCATTAGACCTTTTATCTGGGGCTTTGTCCCTCCTCCTGGTGGTGGCTTCTTCTGCCTGATGACCTTAGTCCTGAGTAGGAAAGCTGGCAACTTTTTCAAAGTCTCCTTTTTCTAACAAGCACAGAGAATACCCCTTCGGAGGGCCAGGCACAAGCATGTAAGCATGTTTGTCTCAAACATTCTGCCTGTTGTGCTGTGACAGGAAAGTCACAGCAGTTTGAAGGGAGGGTCCCACGGAGGCAGGGCAGCGCTGCTCGGAGCCGACTTCCCTTTCGTTCCCAGACTTGCAAGTCAGCCTGGAGACTTGGGCTCAGTGTGCCTGCGGCAAGAGAAGGGTCAAGTCCCGGGCATCTCACTAAAGGGGGCTCCTGGACCACCACAGACCCCCAACCTCTCAGTTCCTCATTTCCTTACTCATTTCCTGGAGGGCTTGAAAGGGCTCACTGCGCATGCGCAAACAGTAGCACGTGGCGCGAAAAGTAAGGGCACCTGAACTAGGGAAACTGTAAAAGGAAGTGGATCGGCCCTGAGCTTCTGTTGACCCCGGATCTGGACTATCTACGGTGGCAGGACCGACGTGGGATCTTTTCCCTTCACTTTCCGTACTCATTCTCTCCTTTCTTGTTTTGTCCCGGCAAGTGCGGCAATCGTATTCTACCTCTTACTCCCTATGGAATTTCACTGCGAGAACTGGGAGCTTGTTAGCTAACTCTCCTACGCCTAAATAGTGGGCTAGTTCTTGGAGTTAAGGTGGCTATATAACAAAGGATAGAGTTCCCTGACACTGGACTGGTGTCTTTGTTCAGCCCTATGAGAATTTATGATGAAGATCGTGCCCGCTTCTGGGTCATGACAACCCCTCCTCCTTACTTGAAAAGCATGGGAGGTTTGCTTATGCCTCTCAAGAATGGCCTTTACTGTAAAGTCTCACTGGAACTATTGGGTCTTCTGTGAAAGAAAGTCAGGACTGACCTCGCCTTTCTTCTCTGTAGTGAACTGAACTTTCTTTGGATCAGTGGTATTGATTTTATTGCTCTTCTTGTCCTGTGCAGCATGGATCTTCCCTTGAAGCTCTCCTCTTGGCTCCCACATTTTCTATTTTATATTTCTTTGAGGGGACAGAAACTTTAGTATTTACATCAAAACTGATTAAGAGCTCATACACATGCCTTGTAGTCACAGCAATATTTGATGCACTTTTTTGTGATACATCTTTCAATTTATAAAAGGAATTTTATTACGTATGTATGAATACGTGCTGTATAATATGGAAGGAATTTATGCAGGGGAAGCATCTTTCTAATTATAGCTCAAAACTAAATGTTTGAGAGCTTTGGCTAATACAAACTGTCACCCATTTTGGCATTTATTAGCTTTTTGTTTTCTAAGAGCGTGCTGTAAGTTACAAGGTGTCTGCATCTGAGAACTTGTCTTTGGTTAGAGGCAAGGGAAGGGCATGCGCTGGGTCCCTTTACTGAGACTTTCCAGTTGGAAGGATTACATGATAAACCTTCCTGTAGGTCCTCTCCACAGAAAGAAATTGCTGAGGCATGGATGCTGGTGGTGGAGAGAATGGAATTGGAAATAGTGATTGCAGATGAGTAAAAATGGTTAACAGTTTTGTTTCATGATGAATTATCAAGGATTATTGGCAGCTGTTATTTGAAGTATTTTAACTTCATGCTGAATAGCTCAACAGTAACACATTCCCTTGGTTATTTAAAAATACTGCAGGAGCAAGAGAAAACTTAATTTTTAAAGTGAGTGGTGACTCTCCTTTGTCCTTGCAAGTAGAGCAAAGAAACACATCAGACATTCTGTATCAGCAGAAATACTGAAACTGAGCTTTTTCAGTCACTTTTAGTATTGTCTACAGTAGCAGTGCGTGGGGTTTGAAACTGGACACTTTGGATGAGTTAAGCAAGTACGGACTAATCAAATCTTAGCAGGGCATGTTGGCTGGGTATCTTTTGTGCAAATCCGGTTTCTCTGTATTGTATCAGTGAGGAAAGATGTAAGTCTTGAACTGTTATTATGAGTATGTGAATTATTTTCTTTCAGAGTCCTTGGTGGGATTGGCAAGCCTTTTTTTTTCCAGTTTTTCTAGTTGAAAGTGCAAAAAAATGTTCTGCTTGAACACTGCACCATTCTTGTGCCTGCCATCTGCTGGCCAGATACCACAACTATGGGGGACTGGCTGCAAAAACCCAGCTGAGGCTCTGTCTTAAGGATACTGGAGAAAAAAACCAGATCCTTTTCTCACCAAGACGTTTCTCAGATGGAGATCGGTTTTTGCATAGTCTCCCTGAGGGAGACATAAGTTTTGTAAGTTCTGTTACCATCTTTCTTCTCTTTCCTAGGATATGATGGAACTCCTAGAGGAAGATCTCACCTGTCCCATTTGCTGTAGCCTGTTCGATGATCCTCGAGTCCTGCCCTGTTCCCACAATTTCTGCAGAAAGTGTCTGGAAGGAATTCTTGAGGGAAATGTGCGGAACGTGCTTTGGAGGCCGTCTCCTTTCAAGTGCCCCACATGCAGGAAGGAGACTCCTGTTGCTGGAGTCAACAGCTTGCAGGTCAACTATTCCCTGAAAGGTATCGTGGAGAAGTACAACAAAATCAAAGTAACTCCAAAAATGCCTGTGTGCAAAGTGCACAGCGGACAACCCCTTAACATTTTTTGCCGGACAGACATGCAGCTGATCTGTGGTGTTTGTGCCACCCGTGGTGACCACACAAAGCATGTTTTCTGTTCCATTGAAGAAGCTTACTCCCAGGAGAAGCGGGCTTTTGAAACCCTGTTTCAGGGCTTTGAAACTTGGCGTTGTGGAGATGCCCTCTCACGGTTGGATACCTTGGAAACCAGTAAGAGGAAAGCTCTGCAGATGCTGACCAAAGATTCTGACAAAGTGAAAGAGTTCTTTGAGAAGCTGCAGCACACGCTGGAGCAGAAGAGAAATGAGATTCTTTCTGACTTTGAGACCATGAAGCTTGCAGTGATGCAGGCCTATGATCCAGAGATCAATAAACTGAACACAATTCTGCAAGAACAGCGGATGGCTTTTAACATTGCAGAGGCCTTCAAAGATGTGTCTGAACCCATTGTATTTCTGCAACAGATGCAGGAGTTCAGGGAAAAAATCAAGGTGCTCAAAGAAACCCCTTTACCTTGTTCCACTGTGGACATCAGCCCCACAATGAAGAGCTTCGACACCAGCCAGTGGAATGGAATAAAACTAGTTGATGTGGACAAACTTTCTTTGCCTCAGGAAAACAATGCTGGCAAATTCAAGATTTCCTCAGTCTTTTCGCGCAGATTTATACTGAACTGTCTTATTTTCTTTACAATTATCTTGTCCTATTTGGCAGATAACGTGGAGATAGCAGATCATGCAGTCTTTTACTGGGAACAGATGACAGATGGAGCTTCACTTTTAAGAGAAAAGTGTAAAAACTATACGTTGGTTGTACTGGATAATGTTGCAGAGTTTGTGTGCAAATATAAACTGTTGTGAAGTCCCTGCTGAAATATAAGAACTAAGAGGGATCTGGGGAAGAAAATATAGAACTTCTTAAAATAATTGGTCCTCGTGAAAAATGTGAAAACATTCAAAGATTCAAAATGTTGCCAAAACATTCATACTGTTCACGTAGTTTGAGCACTGATAAACCAGAAGATGAAATGGGGCTTTGAAAAACACTTAACTTCTGGATTCTTCTTTCAGTCGTGATTATGGGAATATTATTCACTCTAAATCATTTTTCTTACCAAAATACAGGGCTGAACTGTGTACTTAGTTCAATGTTAATGTAATTGTAGAATAAGATAAAAGATCTTAGTTTAAAATATATTTTTTTCTAACTTGGAGGTCATTTGGTAAGAGGAAGAGCCGTTGTGGTTGAGGTCGGCGCTGTATTGACAGGCTTGCTGAGGACTGCCCTTCCTCTGCAAAATGCAGCATGCGTCATTCACAGTCTAGAGCCACTTTGTGTCTGACAGTGTATTTCACTTCTCACTGAAATAGCTATTTGGTGGGGGTTTTTTTGTATAACCAAATGTTGTAATTATCTTGTGCATTCAAATTATGCGTTCTATACAACAATGTGTCTTCAGGGCAAGCATAAGTTCTAGAGGTAACGAGAAATCACTTGAGGTTGATAAGAACAAGCTGCAAGATAGTATATACTTCGCAGATAGTACGTACTTTGCAGTTTACTTTTCCAGCATGGAATTGTTGGGGTAACTGAGCTGTTTTCTGAGATCCATGTTTCTCTGAAGCCCCACTTTCTTAAAAAGTGGCCTTAATGTAAACAGTTTAGTGCAGTGAAAGGCACACAGGGGTCTGCCTCAGGAAGGCAGCTTGAGCTTTAGCCCTGCAGAGGTGGCAGGTAGAGCAGTTTCTCTCCTGTCTCTCTCTTTCTCCCCTGATCGTAATTCCAAAAGCCAGGAAAAATGATTGGATGATTCCTTGAACAAGTTGTGTCATGTAACAAGTGTATGGATATTGCTGATCTTTGAAGTGCTTTAGCATTGGAACTTAGATAGGTTCTTCTGCTGTTACTGTATTTTTGTGTATCTTGTTTCAGGAGTTAATTGAATTTTCTGGGTATATTGACTTGGCCTTAGGATGACAGTGATTTAAAGTGAACCTTAAGCTTGAGTTCTCTGAAGTGCCCTTCTTTAGGAGCATACAATACTGAAATGTCTTGCTTGAAGCACACCTAACCTCTTTTTGCAGTGGTCTTATGAACAGCAGTGTATGGAATGAACTATTGAGTTGACATTTACAGAAAACAAACGTAACGTGTGCCATATTTTGGGAATAGTCATTTGCCTCTCTGAAGGTTTAATAAGTTGTGACGGTCTATTCGCTGTATTCCAGTAGTCCTTTCAAGCTGTTCACTTCAAAAATAAAACATTAAATTCCAGGAATCAAAGTTTCCAAGCAACCAAACCCAGCAAACAAAACTATTGTACACGATATTTACGTCTTTGTTGCCTGGGAATCCTGTTGCTGCTCCACACCTCACTCTAAACACTTGCAAAACCCACTCACTGGTTCTTGCAGCTGCAGCTGCCTTGCAGTTTAGGAAAGATCAAGTCAGAAACATGTAGATCAGAGAGTTATGATTCCTGAGTGGCTGAGGCAGCGATGAGCAATCAAGAGGTGGTCGTTCTGAGCGTGGGAGGTGTGAGATATGTAACCCGCGCTTCCACCTTGCAGCAGTTCCCTGAGTCCAGGCTGGCACGGATGTTGAACCGTGATGACGGGGAATTCAAACTGGTGAATGGAGAATTTTTTGTGGACAGAGATGGAGCTTTGTTTAGTTACATCATGGACTTCTTGAGGACTCTACAGGTCTCCTTACCGACTGATTTCTCAGACTATCAGAGGCTGCGGAGAGAAGCAGAATTCTATGGACTCCACCCCCTGGCTGACCTCTTGAGCCAGGAACACTTGCTAAAGCCGAGGCTGGAGATCTTGGAAGTGCGTTTTTCTCTCCAAGAAATGCAGGCCTTTTTCCGGATCTTTGGTTCCTGCAGTACCACCGTGGAGGCACTAGCTGAGCAGATCACTGTGTTTACAGGGCAGCAGTCAGGACAGAGCTGGAGCAGCCCTTTTCCTTCTCAGAAAACACTTGTTCCACTCCCTTTGGAAAGACCTTCTCATCACGACATGGTTTTTCAGTGTGGTACTGAGTACTCTGCTGGGGACCAGTTTGTGGCAAGGTACTCTCCTAGTGTGACTTCTCGTTATGGCGATGTCTTTGTGACTTCTGGTTCAGGTAGCGTACCCTTTGTGCTAGCAAAGCTCGTTTTAAAGAAACTGAGAGAAAAGAATTATGTTTCCTTATTTCTGCTAGTTTGATGTTATCTTTTTCTAGTTTTGAAACACCCGGTTTAATTTCTGTTACACTGATTTGCCTGTTCTTCAGCTTTCTGAAATATTGCTGATGTTTGTTTGTGAGTTCTCTTGGGTCTTTCTGTCTGCCCTTTCCTCCTCACTTGCTTTAAAATTTCACAGCATCAATTACCTTTTAGAGGACATGAAAAACAGAGTAAAATGAAGCAAAGGAGACAAAGTAAAGGAGCGCAGTACTGGGGGGAAGCCTAAAATCTCCACTAGCTCATGGTCCAAAAGGCTTTCATATGGAAAAGAGGAAAAAGAGAATGTCTAAACAGGGTTAAAAACATCAGTGAAACCAAGATAGCATTTCAGGGACTGGAGAGCTTTTGTAGAGCCTTTTACTGGGGGAAGGGAGAAGGAGTAGATTATTAACTATATGCTACATAGTGGGTTTTCTTTGAATTCAGAGCCAGGTTCTGTTTTTATTAAGATTACTGTATATCAGTAACTTTTGTGATAGCAGTATCATATTCTAATGACAACTTACATTTTTAAACAAGCTTTTGCTGGATGTCTCTACTGTATGGAGGCATGTTCTTGCTATATATGAAAATGTAACCTAATTTGTCCTCTGTGGCTGTTAGAACATCTGGAATTTTATGGAAATTTCACTGAAATAGTTCCAAAAGGGTTATTCTATCTGACTATGTGAACCAACACAGCAGTTTTTTGATTATTTTTAAAAGAAAATAAACTTTTCCTTTCTTCCAGCTTTCTTTGGCTAAGCAAGTAGAAGAAAAACTACTCTGCATTCATGAAGCAGCATATATTTGTGTGCCAAACCTTAACTTTGTAATGTATTACTAATTTTAGTGGACTAACAATTGGTTGAATAGGTTATGGCAACTTAAATAGTGAGGAAAATATTTCTGTTTGTTTCTTTTATTTCTTCAGACTTGGTAAAAATTTTCCTCTGCAGATCAATAGAAAAGCTTATCTTGAGTGATGAAACAAGTCAAGTTTGATTATGTTGATTGCTGAATTTCTGTCTTAATCTTTGTGGTGACATGGATTCTCTTGCCTTTTTTTGTGCTTTCCACAAATATTTGGTGTACTTCCCTGTGAACTGTGAAACAGTTTCACCCCTGTCAGCTTATATATTTTGTAATAGTATCTTTACCTGGCTTTTCTTCCTCAAAATGTCTGGGTAGATTCTTACACTGTACTTTATATCAAGTAGAATTTTATGCAATGTGAAAATGATTTTAATACTTGTTGCCACAAGACCTGCTGTACCAGGTAACTTTGCAATAAATGTCACTGTTTGTAGAGAGAGATCCCGTGTGCTGGTAAGTGATGCTCTTGGGGTGAAAGGGGATTCACTGACCATCATTTACTCTTACCTGAAAAACAGTTGCAGCATTAAATAGAGCCTGCCACTCCCCTCTCCTCCATTAAGTGAAACCAGATGGAGGTTGTCACAGATATTTTCTTAAGAAAGTCAGTTTTGGGAGAGGATAGGAAGGGTGTGTGAAAGAGAAGTGCTTCTTCCTTTACATGTAATTGGATGAACTGAGAATTACTTTTAATGAAGGAAGGAGTTCAGTTGTCCTTAAAGGAGTTAAAAAATATCCAGAACCTTGGTTGCTGTAAACACGTGCAGCTGTGCTGACCTGCACTGTCAAGAAGTGTTAATGTGTGTTGTAACTGCCTTTTTTTGTTTTCTGATTTTAGGTATGTTTCCATAAAGCCTGATAATAGGAAGCTGATTAATGGTACTAATGTGCTAGGCCTGCTGTTTCACACTTTACTCAAAGATGGATTTCGTCTCATAAGTGCCAGGACAGTGGCCAGTGAAGAAAAGGTTGAATGCTACAGTTTTGAAAGGATGAAGAGGCCATCAGGCCTTACTGTCACGGTGAACCAAACCCCAGGGAGCTCTGGGGTAGCACAGGCAAGGAGAGGCCAAATGCAGAAAGGGAAATAAAGGCTTTTCCTTTCATCTTTTGAGGTGGAAGAGGGGTGTGTCAGCACTAGCGGCATTTTTTTGTTGGCTTGTTTGAAACTGCAACTATTGAGGGAAGTAACAAACAAGCAATTTTTTTTTTTTCAAGTACTCGGAAAAAAATTGCTTTCCTGCCTTTCACTGCTCCACCCTCTTCAACTCTAAATAAAAGAACCACAGATTAAATACTGGGTTTGTGGACCAGATTCCAGCATTTTCAAGGGTTGTTTTTGTTTTTCTCTGTGGCTAAGATTTACATAGGGACTCGAAAAGCATCAGCTATTTCTTCTTGAAAATAATTTTAATATTCTGTGCTAATCTGTAAGTAGATTTTAAAAACATTGTAATACATGAAGAAATAACAGCTTGACACAACTGTCATCCCAACAGTTCGGAGAAGTGGCTGGAGGAGGAATTCAAACCTCAATGATTGATGATTGCTCCTCCTTCTCACTGAATCTCTTGCAATTAGCCGAGAGCAGAGTAACGGGAAGATCCCGAGTTGCACTGCTGTGTGGCTTTGTGAAGCCATCACCGGGCTCTGTGAAATAACACATTACTGTCTCTTGTAGAATACTCCTCTGTCCTCCTCCCACTCCGAAGGCATTAAGCTGTTCTTCAGTGCTGAGAATTAAATGATAAAGGTCTATGTGAGCAAAGGGTCAGCTAATTTCTAGAGCTTTAACCACAAAAAGGATGAAAACGCGATAACCAGTCCTTCAGATGGAAGAGTTAGTACAGTTTTAAATAAAATAGTACAAAGAATTTCTTAATGCTTGTTAAATGCAACACAGTTAGAAGGAAGGCTTGGCAGCAGTGGCTTTAAAAATGTTGGGAATCTTAGCCCTGTACAAAGATTTGTAAAGATGCCAAAATTAGCTCAGGTACTAGGAGAGGTAAGTTAACAAGGCTTTATAAATTAAGAATCTTTTGCCTTCCCTTCAAGACAGGGAAAGAAGATAGCGGTAACTTCAGGGATCAATTATTTGCATCTGGCTTTTGTTGGTAAAACACCATCTTTCCAAAGCTATAAACAGCCCAGTAGAGCTTGTTTGGGCTATCTTGGCTGACCATAGAATCACAGAATACGCTGAGTTTGAAGGGACCCCTCAGGGTCATCAAGTCCAATTCCTGCTGCTGTGCAGGACACCCCAAGGATCCCACCATGTCCCTGACAGCATTGTCCAAATGCTTCTGCCTGCATAACTCTTTCAGGCTTGGTGCTGTGACCACTGCCCTGGGGAGCCTGTTCCAGTGCCCATCCACTCTCTGGGTGAAGAACCTTTTCCTGATATTTAACCTAAACCTCCCCCGACTCGGCTTCATGCCGTTCCCTCAGGTCCTGTCACTGGTCACCACAGAGAAGAGATCAGGGCCTGCCCCTCCTCTTCCTCTCATGAAGTAGACTTCAATGAGGTGTCCCCTCAGTCTCCTCCAGGCTGAACAAACCAAGTTCCTCACATGACTTCCCCTCAAGGCACTTCACCATCTTCATTGCCCTCCTTTGGACACTCTCTAATATCTTAATATCTTTCTTATATTGTGGTGCCCAGAACTGCACACAATATTCAAGGTGAGACTGATTAGGTCTGGCTTTTCATTAGCTTTAAAATGTGAATGCATTTAAAATGTGAATTTGCAACACTTAATAATGAGGGTGGGTGGTAGGACTTGCCCATATATTTCTTGCCCTGAGGAGTTTCAATTAAATGGGTCTTCCCAGACTGGTAGCACCACTGTCAGATGTCCCTTTTCTTGGGCTATCACTGTAGGGCATTTTAGCTTGACAAGTTCAGAAGTTCAGTGGAAACAGTGAGGTCCTCTTTGCTTGTTTTAGAGCTTTCTGTGTTGAGAATAATGTGATTATGGGACTACATCTCCTAAGATGCTTACGGGTTATATAATGTAATAAATTTTGAGAAATGTAAGAGTGAATGCTTTCACTTCAAATGGGATTTTTTTTGTCAATAATGTCAATATGTTAATATTTATCTTGAAGTAAGACATTTCTTACAGTGAGAACCATCACTGACTGGAACAACCTCCCCACAGATGCAGTGGAGTCTCCAAATGCTGGAAATTTTGAAGAGGATGCTAAATGATTCCATCGGGGCTCCCTTCCCCATGAAAGGCTGGACCAGATGATCTTTTGAATTCCCTTCCAGCCTGGCCTGTTCTATGATTCTGTGGAGACCTTCTCTGAAGGTCTGCGTCAGGAAGCCTGTCATGGTGGGCTTTGAAGTCAGCCTGCTGATGGCAGCATTCAGGTGACACAGCTGTGTGGGTGACTGTCCCCACAGGTCGCTCTACTACAGAGATGACACTCCTTGTATGAAAACAATAATGTTGAGTATTGAGTGAGTCATTGACTGTGAATATTGTTGGTGGAGAAACTTGCCAACAATAATGAGAAACACAAGACAAAAAGTGATAACTTTTTATGGAAAAAGTTAAAAAAATAGACTTGAGGCTGTATTTAGACACCATGCCCTAAATGATCGATGATAGTAGCGATGCAAACTAAGTGAGACTAGTTTCTGAACGTCTCATAGTAACAGTTACACTATTTCATCTACCACAAGAATACTGACTATTTTCCTTGCTGTAGCAGCCACTAGGAAAATTGAGGTTTGGATTACTTTTTTTATAAATAAAGTGAAAGAAAATATGAAATATTTCCATTTTTAAAAAGCCCTGGAGTTTTAACCTATGGCATCACCCATGGTCCATGGCTTTGGCAAAATGAATATTTGGTACAACCATTTCAGTAACAACTTATGATGGGCTAATGCTGAACACTTTTTTGTTCCCCTCAGGGATTAATTTTTATTCAGCACAAACATCATTCTATGAATGCATTATTTCGGCTCTGGAAAAATATACCAGTGCAATTTCCTGTCATATAAAGGACTGTATGTGCTTTACCTCGACCTTGGGTAATGGCATACTGTGAGACTGCACGTCTTTTTGAAGTGAAACACGACTGTCAGCAAGCTTGGATTCCCAGAGTTCTCCTAGCATTTACTCTTACTTAGCAATGAACTGTGAATTGTCACCTTCTGTCACTTGTGTGCCTGCAGAGAACATGACTAGGCTCTTATACAACACTTCCATTTTGTTGTTGTTTTTTTTTTAACTGACAGTCGCTTAAATAAGTTTGAGAGCATGTGTGTATGTGTGTGAAGAACCTCATAGAAATGTGTTGTGACCTATACTAGTAGGATAACTATGACTTTAATTGAAGATGAATTGAATTAATTAATTTAACTGAAGCTGGTTCTTCAATGGAATGCACCTTCCTGGATTTCTTTTTACAGAAAATGAAAGCAGTGATGGTAGAGCTACAGGTGTTGTGTAGCTTCAAGCTACATATAAATAACAGTAATCATGGAGGAAGGGGTGAAATTATGTTCATTTGCAGACAAGTTAATATAAAAGTAGCATCGATTTACTAGGAGGATCAGCTGGCCTCCACCTTGCATGATCATTTATGCTACTGCAAAGCATTGCTGAGCCAGGATGACAGTTTTTCTGTGCCCTCTTTGAAGTGGTATGCAGTGTAACCTGCAGGCACTAGGGCAGGAATTTAGTAGGGGCCAATGTTGTTACTGCACTTTCTGTTCTGAGGTCCCAAAAAGCAGGGATGCAGCAGAGAGCAGACCATGTGGTATGCACTCAGCAGAGCGGTTCACACTGGTACATTTGCAGAGAAGGGAACAGCTGTACAAGTAGAAGTGAGTTTGGCTGATGGGAACTACGAGTCTGAGTGATTCAAAAGCCTCTTGGTCAAAACCAGATTATACGCTAAACCGAGTACTTTCACCCAGATCTTGGCAGGCAAGTTAACTGATACCTCACAGCACAATCTCTGTTAGACTAGCAGCTGCTGGAGTAATTGTATCATGCCCAGGGGTAGTTACTTCTGTTAACTTTGGAGAAACTTTTCTGCACACTGGGCTGTTTATACTTTCTACCTGTTTTGGTTGTTTTCTAGCTTTCCAACACTCAACAGTAACTCCTTTAATCTGAGCAGAGCAAGGCTGATGTGCTTTTATCTGTCTCTGAAGTGGATAAGTCTAAGGTATATTCCAATTCAGTACCAGAAAGCCACCAAAGTGGATCAGAAGCCCTGTCTGAGTCCACAACGAAACATTCATAACTTTGAATATTTTTTTTTTTTTAAAATTTGTTCTCAGATTGCTGGAAAGTGTTACTGAATATTCACTGAGAAACAAGCTGGGAGTTATCCAAGAGGAGAAGGGAGGCTCATTTCTTCTTACTCCTTCCCTCTGATTTGTGCTGAACCATTGCCAGGCTTTAAGTTTACAAGGTTTATTTTTATCGATTTTCAACAATAAACAGAGGGAGTATCTTCAGTAAAAGATTTACAGTGCATCACGAGGAAATAAAACTCCCTACCAAATATTATATTGATCTATTCCCAGATGCTACTGAAACAGCAAATAAAAGCTCAAATGAAGTCCAGTGATGGAGAACTTCCTCTCTTTAGTGACAGATGCATATGACTGTTATGTCTTCAGAAAACAATAAAAAGGAAGGGAATGACTCTGCTTCTTTGACCATATCTTCAACAGCCCAGTTAAATCTGTCAACTCAATGTAATCCACATAAATAACAAATTTGGGAACCAAAGGAACTGCTAGTGTGTCTGAAGATTCCCATTCTTTGAAGCTGCCTCTCCTGCTGCAGTCAGGCCATAATTAGTCACAGAAGGCCTTGTTGTGACTAGCAAATGGATGGACCAACAATGATTTGAATAGTCTGGTTCTGGCTGGAGATATGCCTGGAGCCCTGAATATTCTCAAATGGGTGGGTGAAATGTAAATCACTAGTCATCATATAAAATACAAATAAATCTGACTTCTATTTAAAAAAAAAAAAAAAAAGGAATGTCAGTTTTCTAGACCGTCATGTAGTTTCTGCTGAAATAACACCCTGAAGTGTGATCTGATGTGTAAATTTTTCCAAGAATCCTTCCTCCATTTCTACTCTGTTTTCATTCTAATGGAATGGTTCAATAATTGGTAGCTTCTTTCTGGTCAGAAGGATAATGAATGTAGCCCTAAAGGTTGGAAACAGTAATGTGTACAAGTCTGCTGAAGAATATTAATTTAGGGCTTTGCTTTCTAAGCAAGTTACTGTTACAGCAGTCAGCTGAGTGCTTGCTGAAACTGTGAAGAATTAAACATTGCAACATTGTTCCATCCTGATTCTCCACTGGAAAAAAAAAAGGCAATAGATTGGAAACATCAAGTCTGGGGTTTTACTAGTACTTTGGAGTCAGGAACTGAGTTTTCTTTGAATTTCAAAGGCAGTTTGTAGCTTTCATTGAGGGCCTTCTGAAAAGACTGGTTTATGGTTTTTGGTTTTGTTCCCCAGTGATATCTAAACTGAGTAATAAAATAATTGCTGACATACCGGTTTATTTGCAATGTTGTATTCAACAATAAACAGAAGGCATGCTCATCCTTCTATCCTTTAATCTTCTTGTTTTTAATATGCCTTCAGCCCACTCCTCAGCCTGGTACTGGTGGAACAGAGGAAAAGGCTATGTGATGAGGGCAGGCAGAGATCCACAGAAGGTGGCCAACTCACTTCTTTCCTATTACAAAGAGGGTCTTAAGGAATAAAATTAGGCTGGAAAGAGTCACAGCTTTTTTGGGACCAAAGAGACACAACTTATTGTATTGAAGGGAGGACAGTTAACAGAACTGTCAGAAATTTCAATTCCACTGGATAAGGAAAAGCAGATCTCATAGAGGTGAATGAACGGGTGGGTGATAGCTGCTATTTGAATGTGGAAATGGCACAGAATAATCTAGACAGGAGACTTAAATGTTCATGAGACTATAGAGACTTTTTATTTTTTCCAATGTGTTAGGTTAATGCATCTGCAGAACATCTTACATCAATCGTTTGCATACCTGAAGAAGAGAATTTTTCTCTAGGAGGTAATTTCTGCATATGTGCTGTGAAGTGAAACATTGCAGGATCCAGACATCAGATGGATTAATCATGTCGATACCTCACATCTGCAAACAGAAGCTAAGCTTTCAGAGGTCAAATAGACAAACTCTGAAGATCAGAATAACAGCACTGTTTTGGCAGCACTGGGGTGATAAGCCTGCTGGATACTTACTGGATATTTCCTGTTGGTGGACTTTGTTTCAATTCCAGTTGCAGTATGGTGAGCACTAACCCTATTAGTAAGTTCCTAATTTTCCATAAATTGGAAATGTATCTCCTGGAACAGACTGGTTTACATTGTTTTCCCCATTTGCAACTTGATCCTTAAGCCATAGAATATTCCTTTGCTACCTATGATCATTCAAAACATTATCTTCTGAAGATGGTTCAGTAAACTGAGGATCTCTGGAACACATTAATAGCTTAAATGATTAACTATGGCCACGTCAGGAATGTAAATAAAAAATTGTATCTGCATGGCCCTTAATTTAACTGAGATACTTCTCCCATCTTGATTAGGCCAATGGTGCTTTCTGCTTTTATGGAGTTTTCTTTGACATTTGAAGTGTGATAGTGTAATCTAGAATTCCCTGGTGTCCATACGCAGTCCCCAAATCTCTGTGGATACATTTGGAAGAAGGATGGACAAAAGGCGATCCATTTGCAAGACTCACCTTTCAGAGATTCCCTGCAGAACTTGGCTGGAAAATGCACTCACAGGCACAGGAACTTTTGTGTGACTCCTCTGTTGGCTACAGTTTGTATTCATAAGCTGTGCTGTAGCAGTGTCTTGGGGATGGCTACTGAAAGTCAGACCCACAGAATCATAGAGTGGTTTGGGTCAGAAGAGATCTTGGAGATCATCTAATTCCAGCCTCCCTGCCATGGGCAAGGACACCTTCAGCCAGACCAGGTTGCTCAAGCCCCATCTAACCTGTCCTTGAACAGTTCCAGGGATGGGGCATCCACAGCTTCTCTGGACAACCTGTCCCAGTGCCTCACTGTCCTCTGACTCATGACCCATGCTCTCACTGAGCTTCTGAGGTAGGCTCTGAGACTGAATAGAAAAGCTGATCATGTGAAGTCACAGAAGGCTAGTGGAACATCAGGTGGCTGCGGTTTGGATCATCTCTATTCTTTGGAGATGATCTTGGTCTACCCTCAACACCAAGATAAAGCCATGGAGGATCCATGAAGGATCTAATGCCAGTTCTTAGATCACGTATGAAGTGATCTAAGAATGTGATGCATATGTGAGTTTTTGCTCTTCTGAAACAAGTGGTGACAAGCATACAGGTCTCCTGGAGGCAAAGCCTTGCGCTGCTTTCCTGGAGGGCGTGAAGGTCTGCATGATTGGAAAACCTGTTCTCTGTGATGCCTGTGCTTGGAAACTGGTGTTTACTTGTCTTGGGGACCTAAGAACAGTGTGTACAACCTTGTCTCTCTAAAAAGAGAATGCAAAGCCTGTGCTTCAGAAAACCCATAAAGAAAAAGTTTTTATAAAGATGTCTGTCTCCAGAAATGTTGTTACTGCCATCAATGCTCTCTACTGCACCATATCTAAATTCCTCTCTAGATGTCTGTGGCAATTCTTACCATTTTAAATTAGTATATGCAATATGAATTAATCATATGCTATTTGAGACTCTCATTTTCAGAAGGTAGCTCCTTCTGCAGCAGAGATAAAACTTCAGCTTCCTTTTGCTCTAGTTATCAGTATTTGCTATTATTGGAGGCAGCTTTCACGGAATGAATTTGGTTGGAAAGGACCTCTGAGATCATCAAGTCCAACCTATGACCAACCAAACACCACCATGTCAACTAGACCATGGCACTGAGTGCCTCATTCAGTCTTCTCTTAAACACCTCCACGGACAGTAACTTCACCACCTCCCTGGGCAGTCCATTCCCATATCTAATCACTCTTTTGAGAAGAAATTCCTCCTAATGTCCAACCTAAACCTCCCCTGGGTACAGTCTGAGGCCATTTCCTCTTGTTCTGTTGCTGGCTGCCTGGGACAACAAAGAAGTTCTCTACAATTACCTGAAAGGAGGTTGTAGCAAAGTGGGGGTCGGTCTTTTCTTGTGCATAAAGATGCTGCATCATGTTGGCCTTGCAAGAAATGCACGCTAAACACTCAGGATTGTGAAAACCCTTCTTGTCTGGCCCCAAAGTTATCCTGTCTAATGGGATAGCAGAATAAGCAAGCAGAAGTGTTGAAGGATTTACTTGCTGAGTAAAAAAGCCTGTAAGTAGTTAACAAGTGCTTAGCCTTGCTGAACTTTCATAACACTGCCATCCAAAAGTGATTCGACCTTGCCATAAATAATTTTGGTGTCATTGTTACTGATAATTTCTGCCCTAGAATCATGGCTGCCAAGGGATCCAAGAACTGTAGACGACGTACCAGGAAAATTCCAATTCTGCATCACTGGACTGCCTGGTGTTCCCAGGTTTGAGCTATGCTTAACTTCTTCAGAATTTATGTAGAAGAAAATCAGGATCCCTTTTGCAAATGTTCTGTTCCTTATCACCCTCTAATCAAGGTCTAGCCATGTTAGGAGACTTGCTGACAGCCTACAACAAGAAGTGGGAAAGGCAAAAAGTTCTGGTCTTTCTCAAGTGTTTCTGCTCAGGCAAACTAGAACCAGAGGCCAGGTGTCTGCCGGTATCACTTGTGACATCTTGAGGCAAGATATTTTGCTTGCTCAGCCTTCTTAGAAGATTCATGTGATGCTCATCAAGTCAAGTAAAATGTATCTTATGCATAGTCTTTAATGACACCACTACATCACATAGTAAGTGTCTGAACACCAGGGAGGTTGTGCTCATTCATGGGGTATGCATTGACAAGGAATTCTTCATAGGCTAAAGCAGTTTCTCCAACCAAAGAGAAAATAAAAAAACAACAAACCAGAAGTGCTAGTTTCTAAACTAAACCACATCTTAACATCTATTTAAATGTTAATATAAATTAGTGAATAAGAAAACACTAATAAAGATTAGTGAAAAAGAAAATTGCTACTATCACTGGCTAATGAAAAGCTCTCTTTGTAGCCACTGGTAGTCCAAAAAATGAGGGGTGGCAGGATTAACACTGCTCTTGCACAAGGAAACAGTTGTTGCTTTCACAAGTGCTGCTGAACAGCGTTGTCCCACTCAAAGAGTTCCAGATACACAGGTACGAATGGCTGCAAGCAGCGCCTGTGTATCAATGCACAGCACACACACAGACACGAGAATTCCAAGTACTTTTAAAGATAATAGAATTCAGAAGGGCTTTTTTTGGCTTTATCTGTGTAATACCAAGAGGCAGATGAAAGAAAATTACAAAAGTAAGGAAGCGCAATATCAATTATTTGGTTTCAACATACAGGGTGACAAAGAAATTCCTATCTCAAGGATAAGCCTTATGGGAATTCAGAGTAGTTTCCTCAGGCCTAAGTGTCTCAAAAGAGCCTGTTGGCAGCCTGAGAAACTCAAACATTATATATTATGAGGACCAGGTGCTGTTTTTAAAAGAACTCTACAATAAATATGAAAAAACAACAAAACCAAAAACGGAGATACAGTTAGGATTTTGTTAATTGCCATTAAAAATGTCCACTGCTCTGGACAGCTGCTCACAGCTAAACTGCAGCCTCTAAAAGCTGCAGTTTTAGATGAAACTGAGATACATTCATAGAGTAAGGCAGTGCCTTTCTCAGGCTGCTTTATGCCTGAGTAAGCATAAAATAGTGGGATCACAATGTAAGAGCTCTGCAAGTTACCTGTGTGTTCTAAGCTACTAGAATTGCTCAAACAAAATAAAAATTAAAGATACTCCAAGAACCATGAGGAAGTCCTAAAGTTTAATCCTAATTTGGAAATGGAGTATGTAACCACTCCTCATAAGAGGAAGAATGTAGTAATTTTTCTCAACATGAGAAGTTATTTGAATCTTCTTCAACCTAGAACAGGCTCTTACCTATGCTGCTAATTTGTGAGGAGAATTGTAAACTCTCCTGTAAAACAAACAAACAAAACCCCCCTGAAACTCAAAAAGCTTCTTCAAATATAATAAAAAGAAAACAGTTTGAGGTAGATTGCAGGAGAGAAGAGGTGAATCCCCTTGCTGGCTGTTGAACAGCCATGCAGTTGCTCCCTACTTTCTGTCTTCAGCAGATTTAGAGAATGTAGGGGCATAAAGCAGTTTAAAGCCACCTTTACTGGTGCTCTCTTTAGCAATAAAAACCAGAACTTTGGCATAATAGAGATCTGTGATGCAATTCAGAAACACTTTGTTATCTCAGTGTTCATCTGCTGGAAACATAAGGTATTCCTTTAGTGTGCTTCAATGGGTACTTATATTTATTGTATGCTCATTTTACCGTTACTTCAGGAAACATCTTAGGAAAAAATATGGAACTTGCAAGGAACTGCACAGTTAGTCCAATAAAAGCAAATTCCACTACCCTTTGAAATTCTACCTGCAGCTTGCTTTCATCTGCTAAGAGTAATAGCTATCACTGCCAACAATCTTTGAACAAAACCATTTTGTGATTTCTTTTTTGTACATATCTGTGATTTAGCAAGAAAGATGGGCAACATCTGTGGCAACTTCCATGGGGTACTTTTTCAGAAGAGATGTGAACTTCGACCTCCTCAGGCTTCTGAAAACCAGGTTTTCTGTTTCATGGAAGAGTACCCTCACCTTGTTTCAGATTGTTTCAGCCAGTTTCTTAAACTCTTCTGATGGATTTTAGCAAGTCATGACAATTTTAAACCAGCTCTTTGGTCTGACCCTATCTTTCCCATTCCCCCTTTTCAATCACAGCATGTATCCTTACCCTCTGTTGTTTCTGTCAGCAGTTTAAAGATATCTGATTACAATAGATTTTTTAACATGTTTTGAGGGGCAGAAAGATTCCTTAAGGCTTTCTTGGCGTCATGCTACATCTTTTGTACTGTAGTAGAAGATTAACTCTCACATCAGTTTCCCTAACACTGTTGCAGCTGTGGATTTTCAGCCACAAATCCAGTTCCTCAGATGAAGATGAGCTGTTATAACCTTGGCCTTATCTGATGAAGAAAGAGATCACCTCTGTATTGTTTGTCAGAGCAAAAGACCCTGTGCCCCTGAGACAGAGTTTTTTCTGGAAACTTTCCTGGCTACCTCATACAGTACCTACAGCATTCCATTACCACATGGATATACAGTAACCAATACAAGGGTTCTCTTTACGAACACTTCGAAGAAAAAAAAAACCACCAAAATACCTAATTTGTGTCCTTTAATTTTCCAATATATTAGACATCTATTTCATTTGAAGAACAAGGTTTTTAGTTTCTCAGCACAGGGGAAAACACAAACTGGAAGTATACAGCTACTTGCATTGGTAACAACTTAAAACACATACAAAGAACAGATTAAAGCAAAGGAGACTATTAAAAAAAACCAAACCCAAGCCTCTTGTTAGATAGCAGAAGCTCTCACAGATGTGCCTGCAAGAGAGTCTCAGTCATTAAATAAAGCTGGAGCATGTATCAGGCTAGTTCACTGCCAGCTTACAAACTTTTATGTTTTAAAATCTATTACCTGCATTCTTGACAGCAGTTTATCTAATCACTTTGCATTAGTAAGACTATAAATGTGATATTAAAGTATGCTAGTCTTAAGTTTCATCACAAGGACAAAGTACTGCTCTAAATTTCCACTACAGCGCTTTGAAAATAAGCTTCTATAAAGGCATTAAGAAACTGTGGAGATACTCTATTTAACCAGGCTTTAACATTTGTCTTATACAAGAGATAAAACTTCATTCAGAGGTAGTTTTTACAAGCACACACATTTTTTGCCCCTCCATTTTCTCTATTTGTGACATGGAAATGAAAAAAACAGCTTGTTGAAAGCAATGAATAGCTGAATTCAAGCACGATTCCTTTCTGGAACCTCCACAACAATACAACCAACAGGGGGCTGTCTGGCTACACGATGTTATCGCATCTGCAGTGAAATCCTTTTTCTGACTGTACCACCTACTATCCACAGACGCTTCCTAAAATTGGTTGTCACACAGGCCATTTAACAGATTTCATACCTGCAAAACATTAGAGCTGTTGTCCATCTTTGTCTCATATTACTGAAAATTTCTTATTTTTGAGTCAGAAGTTCCATTATACATAGATGGATAATATAGTTTTAACGTATTTTTTGATGTGTCTAAAAAAACAGATATTGCTTGTTGGAAAAGATAGACACTTTCACATTGTCTTCATGACAGGAAAGGTGTGTCACAGCTGTTTAGCTATAAAGCTATATATATATATATATATATAGCTTCTTATAGCTAAGAAGCTATATATATCTATATAAGCATTTTGTGTTGGTTTCACATGTAGATACCAATCTTCTGCAGAAGAGAGAGATGAAGGTGTCTTTAGACTCTTTAATACTGATTTAAAGAGCAGATAGGCAAAGCCTCTCTGTAGGAGTATGAAGAAAGGAAGAATAAGGCCCTGAGTATTCCTTACAGTGATTTAAGCAATTAACTTTAAATTAACTTTAAAGCTGGATTGCCATTCTTGAGAGTGGAGGGTGCTTTTCTTGGTGCCAGCACTGTTGCTCACACAGCAAACACATTCAGCTGGCTGAGCTTACCAAAAACTAACCTAAAGTTATTTAGTGAAACCACCATGGAAATATCAGAGGCAGGCTCATGTTGAAGGTAACAGGAAGGCTCTCAATCCCAAAACTTGTCTGGCTCGAGAATCACAGGACTGTAAAACCATAGTCATATATTATTGTTGACTATTCTAACTGGTCCAATAATGTGACCCCTGAAGCTTTTAATTTGCCTTTCTTTCAATAAAAGATTAAAATGTATACATCTGAGATTTTATATGCTATAATTTATGCCTTATATACTTCAAATTTCATAATACTTAAAGTTTTTCTGTGTATTTGTTGAGAAATTCCAAAATATTTTACTTTTAAAACCACTTGAAAGTGTAAAAGCTGTATAAAGTTCCTTTGTAGGTAATAAAGCCACTGCTTGCCCTGCAGAAACATAGGGAAATGTGAACCTTTCTATCCATGTCTGCCTCCTGTGGCTATAAACAGCAGAAAAGAACAATATGGATATACTGTTCCCATCTCTCAACAGAAACTAAGTCAGCCTTTAGCTACTCAACACTGTATGCTTTAGATTGAAGATACAAACTGGATAAATGCTGCTATAATTAATTTTTTAATTTCAGAACTTTCAAACAAGGTTCAAATTTTACATTAAGAGACAGAAGCAATATTAGATAAATTCAAATTTGATTTATTAACAAATACAGAGCTATTATAAGTGAATAAAATGTGGAAAAAAATTGCACCTGAAAGCCATTAAATAAATTCTAACAGAAATCAACTGTGTAGTGAAAAGTACTCCAAACATTATTATCCCCCTCACAGAAAGATGAGCATTGTCACTCGTGCTACTGCATTTTTTCCATAATTCTTTCTTATTTCTCTTTATAGGTAAACATTTTATTCTGATACACGCAACTTCCACCTTAGAAAGGAGATTCACATATATCTCAGACATAGTGTTTTCCTTCAAATACATTTTAAACTTTTTGTTTACTTGTTTCTTACATGAAGAATTGCTGCTCAGCTTCAAGTTACACTGTGGTAAAATAGCAGCTCACCACTTTGGATATATTTGTATCATTTCTTGTGATTTCTGTGACAGGCTGTGATGAAGAAGATAAAGGAAGTCTAAACATTTCAAATTTCCATCATTACTGTTAGTATTGCTACCTGTCTAGGACAGACTTCCCTCAATACTTAACAAGATACCATGACTAAGGGAAAAGCTGAAACATTTTCAGATCTCTGTATCCAAATACTCAGTACAGGCCACTCTCACTCAGCAAAGTGTGCCATGTGCAGTACCAAGAAAACTGCTTTTGAAATTTGAAGAACAATGGCCTGTAGAAGTGCTAAATACACAGGTCTAAGTCACTTTACATTTTCAACAATGCACTGCTTACCACTGTACAACTAGTTTATTCTTTCTGCAAAATAGGTCTTCACAGGTAAATTTATTGTCAAACATGATGAAACTGAAACATGAACATTACCTTCAGTGTATAGAATATTTTCAGAAGTAACATCTTCAATATTCTGTAAACGACATTCAAAAATGGTACAAGTATTTAATAATAAGAGTTACATTTGCAAAATGAATCAGTGACAAGAGGACAAAAATCAGAGTATTTTGGAGTTCACAGGACTGCACAAATAGACCATGAATAAACAACATGGAAACTCTGCTTCTCAACTTGAGCTGGCAACAAGAAAAGTTGATTGCAGATCTTGTCTTTAAAAAGATGCACAATACTCACCTCTTCCTCTAAAATCAGAATTGAAGAATGCCATAGAAAAGTCCACAAGGAAATGTACTCTAGTACAGCTACTAAACAAAAGTGTTTTGTTTTTTTAAACAACCAAACCCCAACAGCCCTTCAGCTAAGTTTCTATTATCCCTATTTTAAATATGACATGGAGGTGTAGAAACTATCATAGTATGCCACAGTTTGAGGTATGCTTTAACAACATAGGAGGCTGTTGGGAGACATAACATTACAGAATATTTTAATTCAAATGACAACTCCCAAGAAACTCACCTACAAATATAAACTGCCAGTGTTTCCTTCAGACATAAGAGTCTTAAGTTAGACACCTCTAAATTAAAGAGGAATACAAGTATTACAGAAGCCAAGGCCCAGTAACTTGTTTAGCATCATATAAGAATAAAGGCAGAAAAATAAACACCTCATCCAATTCTTAGGAATTCTCACTTGACGTGACCACGAAGGCATGGTTTCCTCTACTTGTAGCAGTTATTCCATTGCCTACAGAATTTTCTACTAATCTGCAGCACCTATAGCAGCATTAAGCTTCTTGCTGGCACTGCCCAAAAACATCTTCCCTGGCCCAGCACCCACACCTGGCCAGTCCTATCATTAGGTTGAATATTCTGTGTGGTCACAAAGATTGCTTCATAGTACACTGACACAAGGGGGCAAATGAAGATTGCAGAATCTTAAAGTAGGAGTTACCTAACCTCTTACCTTTTCATTTTGTGATCTTCATGTTCTTTTTACAGTTATCAGGTTGTGTTTTGCTTATTTTCCCCACAAAAACATTTCCCCCTTTGAATTTTAATTCCCCTTGTTAGTTGAAGTATTTTATTTACTTCCACAAAGATGATGAGAGAACTGAACAATCTTTCACATGAAGAAAGGCCGAGAGAGCTGAGACTCCAGCCTGGAGAAGAAAAAATTTGTGTTTGTGTGATCTTATCAAAGTTTCTAAACACCTGCTGATGGAGGAAAGGGACAGTAAAGAAGACATAGGCAGGCTCTTCTCCGTTGTGTCCAGTGATAGGACAGAAGGCAACAGGTACAAAATGAACTGCATGAAATTCTGTCTCAACAGGACAGGTTGTAGATTCTCCATCCTTGAAGATATTCAAAAGTTGACTGGACACAGCCCTAAAGAAGCTGCTCTGCCCGACCCTGCTTGAATTAGATGATCTCCAGAGGTCCTTTCCTACCTTAACTACTCTGTTATTTTGGGATTCCTTTTCAGGACCAAAATCCACAAAGTAGTAGCTGAGGGTACTAATAAGCTTGCTCTTTTCTATGTGGAATATGATGAGGGGAATGAATTTGACAGTCATTTTGCAGATGACAGCAAAAGCTACTACTTAATAGTCTACATTCCCTTCTGGATCTCAAGTGCAGAATACCCTAGTGAATGTTAGGAATGATCTGAAGTGTGCGAGCCCTTTCCCCCAAGCCTGACTTGTTCTCTTTGCTTCAAGCCAGATCCCTTCTGTCAGGCTGCTGCTTCTTCCAATTTCAAGAAACAAACCCCAAATCTTTGCCTAAACTATTTCAATCCTTCAGATTTTCCAGTTTATCAGATCTGTCTTTCCCCTATTAGTTCTCAGCTCAAATCTTTCAATATCAGATTTTCAGACATGCTCCTCTCACTAGACATCTTCACACCTATATAGCTACTAGTCTCAGTTTATTTTCAAGCAGGCCTTCCTTTTCTTTCTCTTTTATTTGAATTAGGCATCTTTTTCCTGTGCAGTTCCTAAGCCTAGCAGAAAATAAGCACCTGAACTAAAACCAGTGAGCCTTCCTTTCTCACATCAGGCACAATCCTTAGGATCCCAGAGTTGCAAGGCAGAGGGGGTTTGATTTGGTCACAGCCTATGGCACCATCCATGCAGGCAAACTTCTGGAAAATATAACTGCTAATATTATTTAAGTCACCTGTGAACCATGCGAGAAATACAACATCCTTTCCAAAGGTTTAGGATCCAAATAATTTGAGTAGGCCTTCATAAGCACTTCAAGTCATTTTCTTAATCTTGACAGGAACTTTGGTTCCTCAGTTGAACTCTGGTTCTGCAAGTGCTCAAATTGTGTTTTTGTCCTGTCACTGAACTGTTCGAAGTTGCTAGGGCCAACAAAGAAGGTGGTCCAACCTTTGTCCTTCTGCTTCTTCCCATTCCCTGCCATCTCCTGCTTTGTGCCAGTGATACGGGTTTGCATGGTGAACCAGAAGGAAGCAGTCTGTTCCTATAAAGGCCTACATGGGCACAATGAAGTAGTCAGGAACACACGGTTTGGCCACTGGACTTTGACAAAGCCATGCAAATAGACTTGTTGCATGCTTTCAAGTCTTTCTGATCAGCTCCTTAGATTCATATCTACTCATACAAGTCCCTGGGAAAAATCCTGGATATATTAAAATACCAGATCTACAAGAGCAACAGGATGGATGGCCCCCTGCAAGCAGAAGTCTGCAGTGGGCTGACAAAAATCAGTGATCTTTAAAGGACGTGGCATAGTAGAAGAATAACATCTTTTTCTTTTATAACTCACAGAATCTGGTCTAGCCAAGCAATTCTAAGTTTTCAAATGGCTGAAATGTATGTGCAGGTCTTCAATGTTAAGCAGTTAAAGATAAGCAAATATAACATAGTGCTACTTCAAGAAATTCAGTGAGAAAGCTATTCACCTTTGAGCCAGATAGCATATTTTTTCTAAATAATCAACCTCAGTTTGGTCACGTATCTTAGGAGAGCTGTAATAGGTAAAGGTACACATGGAAGTGTTCTTTATGAAAAGACGTAGGCTATCTAATTATGCGTAGGTTTGCTGCTGAGAACTGCTCAGGTCTGAACTAAGTTGGAAATTTTAGCCATCAGTAGTTTCAACAGTTCAAATCCGTAGCAGTAGCAAACAAGAAAAGCGTAATTTTTAGCAGCGCATACACCAGGCTGAAATTCTATACAGTCAAATAATGCAAATTTATGAATTATAAAAACTTGGATTCATATTCATCTACATCATGTTTGTACCTGTGCAACTGCACCAGTAGCAGGCTTGTGAAGGCTGAAGTGAAAACAAATCTCCAGTGCAGATAAGCTTTTTTCCTCCTTTTAAAACATCTATATGATATATAAACTTGACTCTGTGAGCATTTAATTGAAGAAGGCATGTGTATTTTAAATGGTAAAATACAACAGGGCTAATAAAATTAGATTAGCAAGTGATACTGAGTCATGATAGTGAAGAAAATAAAATCTTAAAAGGAAACACACTTTCAGATCTGTATCTAAAATTAGTGACATTTACATAACCATTAGTCTACATTTGACTCACCACACAGTTCTTGCATGCAGCTTTTAAAAGGAAAGGAGCCCAAGTAATTTCCATTCTCACTGCAGCGATTTCAATCATCTCAATGAAAGATTCTCCTGCAAGAGAAAAATCTTAGTGGAAGATGAGAAAAAAAATTAGTAAATTCACAGTCAGATCCACAGTTTAAACTTCTAACCATAAAACAGTTATGGATCTAAAGTCAAGCGGTTTAAGAAATGAAGTGTTTAATAGGTTGTTAAAAAATTCGGAAGACACTTTTGCTTTGTGAGTTCTCTTTGCTAAAAGCATGACCAAAAATTTCCCAGTTCCATTCATTTAGAAAATGCTGTAAAAATGAATAACCAGTTTTAAGAGTTTTAATAAAGAAATACTGACAATTAAAGTAACATAATTTTTATAGTTTTAAAAAAATATAAACAAACACACTTACCAAAGCATTGTTAGACAGGTGTAGCTTGAGATGGCTTCTTTAAAAAGCTCAGTTTTCAGGTAAGCCAACACAAAGTTATATATGTCTATCCTATATTTACCATCATACACTATGAAGTTCTAAATATTGTTTCTGAATAGATGAAAATACAAACAAAAGCCAAGAAAGTGTTTATAAACAGACAATATACAAATTAGTGGCAACAAAAAGGCAAAGGAAATACACAAAATGTCCTTTTCCATGACTCGCGTGCAGAAGTGGAAAGCCTTACTTCAGCAGCACAGTTAATACTGGAGATATTTACAGTCTTAACACCAATATTTACGTGCTGCTAAAGTATGACAGACATCAGCATCACAAGATTGACTAATTCATAAGTGGTATGTCTCTTCAGGGTGATGAAATCCTTGTATTTTTGAGGCAGCACAATATGGCCTGCACCTTTTCAAAACCCACAAACCATTATGTGCTGCTACGTTATGCCAAGGTGTCTACCATGCTTCAAGGAAATAGAAACATACACTGAGAGCTTAATGCAGAATTTTCTTATTGAATGTTAGCTTTCATGTAGTAACATCAGCTGTATTAATAAACTACAAAATGTTTATAAAACATCTGTCCATTGCCAAGCTGACTGTTTATTTACAGTGCTCTAGACTTTATTGTCAACTGTGCATAAAACCTTAATGGGACATGAACCAGTAATTGGACAAATTGTGTCTGATTAGAGGAACTAAAGATTATACAGATGTTTACTTCAAAAGAAAACAAAAAAGTCTGGGTTATTTTCTAATCTAACTTTTGGTCATCTGGAGATTGATGTGAAAAAAAAAAAAATCCAACAACTTTCATATATAACAGAATAAGAGTCAAACTCAAAATAAGCTTCTATCAACTACTATATCAGTCCTCAAGACCTTTGTTACCTCTGCAGCTTACTCTCACTGCAATTTTTGGACAGACAGATTTACAAGTGCTTCTTAATTAAGTTCAGGGGAAAAATTTTAAAAAATCCACAACAGATTGTTAGCAAGAATAGTAACTTATCTCTTATTAGGAGCAGGAGTTCATTGGCTCCCAGCCTAGAATGATCATGCTTCTTTTACTTGAAGAAGTAGGTAAGAGACTTGGAGTTCACATGCCTGCCAGGTATCATTTTCTTAGACTAAAGTATGCCAGAGATTTAAGGGTGTGCAGTACTTTTACTAGTTCCCTAGATAACATGAATTATGCTTTCTTTAAAGTTTTTATACCAAACTATTAAGACAAAAGCTACTTACACAGCATGGACCCAAGCACTCCACTTCATTACAATAAGCCTTCTAGCCAGTTCACAATAAACAACTTCTGCAAACTAACAGGGCTATCTGTAAGCACAAAAAAAAGGTTTGGCAGGCCACATGGGGAAAAGATTAGTGAGTTTTTCTTTTCTCCCTTCCTATTTTTGCTCCTGCAATAATAAAGCAGGATAATATCTGTTAGAATTCTGAGTGCATGGCCACAACCATGCCAATTAAAGTGAAATTGCCAGTGTAAACTTATAGGTAGCTGTAGCAACACTGTTTTTATATAGCTATCCAGGTAGGAATGCTAACTTTAGGAACTGTATCAAAGAGCCATTTCCAGTGTATTTTATACACGTGCAGCTATATTTACAGTTACACTCCCCCCCCCCCCCCCGGCTTACTACCTGTTTGATATTTAAATCAGAGAGCTAAAGTAGGCAAACCAGATTGAATTAAGGCCCAACTTACCCAGTACCATGGCAAATTAAAACTTGCGTGCAAAGTCAAAATAAACCTAACTGTAAATGCTGTGACAGTTAGTGTCCCCCTGATGGAACTGTGCTAGGCACAAGCCAAGAGAAGAAAAGGTAAAGACAAAATCTCCACCACATATAGATAATTTGGAAAGTAACGATAGATGTGAGCAAAAGTGCTAGCCAGTAGTAAGAGATTTATTTCAACTGTCATGGGAAAAGAATATGAAAAATGTCCCCCCAGCAAGAGAAAATACTGCCTTGTACTTGTAGATTTACCTTAAAAGATTGAAAGAAAATTATTTAAATGAGACAGCTGCAACATTCAATACCTTTGGAAGTACATTTCTCATTTGTACATTCAAGCCAAATTCTTCATTTGTAAACTGTGTGTTTAACTAGATGCTGTTCTTTCAATTGCCTATTTGTTTTCAGCTTCTAGCTTAAGCATGGAGAGCGTTTTTCTGTTGCATGAGTAAATCCCTCTAAAATTAAACTGTACACACCATGAAATGAAGACTTGGCAGAACTATTATGGTATTTTCTACAGTAAGTACATTAGTAAGAAAACTTGCAGGTAATTCCACCCACCCATACAAAATGTGAACAAAAACCTTAAATGAATTACAGGATTCTAGGTTGGGTTTTTTTATTATGATTTTGAGGGGTGGGTTTTGTTTTGTTTTTTTTAAACTTTACTACAAAATGCCCCCAAACAAACCAACCAACCAAGTAAAAATCCAACACAACACGACTATATATTTTCTACACTGCTATTAAAATATACTTTATCTGTAAGGAGAATAAGAAAATTTTCACATAAAATTGAAGGCCGTGTATGGGAGAAAAGGGGATGAGGAACACAAAAAGAATGAAAAGAAGTCTAAGATAAGAAGTATACTGACAGCTAAGCCAGAAATCTACTGAAATTCAGGAGCATCTGCACAAAGCTGTGTACCTCTATGCTTTGATCATAAAGCTAATATAGTCGTGTTATTGAGAGTGCTTCTCCTACCTCCATCCTTGTGTCTTAAGAAGATCTTGATGAAAGCTGGGAATCATGTATGCAGGCAGCTCTGTTAGATTCTTCCGAACCCCTGAAAGTAAGAGCTCTGCTGAAGATGCACAACCGAAATTCCATAGGAGCAGGCTCTCCACACATACACAGAAGTCAGGAATGCTGTTCGAAAAAACAACTGAAACTGTTAAAAAAAAAAAAAAGAAAAAAAGAGGACCAAAAAAAAGTGTGTGCGAATGTTTGTGCTTTTTTTAACAATTGGAGTGTTCCCAAGGAAGGAGCTTTTCCTTGATTTCAGTGTTTCTTATTTGATTTATCAAAGACCAAGCCCAACATAAAATATAATTTTCAGGTTTTCTTGTTTATAGTTAAGAGCTTATGACAACACCAAGCCAAACTCAATCTCTTTCTGACACTATGAAAACCAGCTACAAGTGAATTTCTGGCTACTGTAACTACTAATAAGCTCTTCAAACAATACTATAACTACCAATAAACTTCTTAAATCTCTGTGTAACATATTGTATCCAAAAAGCTACCACTAGGCCTGCAATCTGACAGACAGGTCAGTTATTTGGAGTAAAACATATAAAGGCCTTTGTATTAAATACTTTATGTTGTCTCAAATGCCCAAGAACATGATATAAGACTAAAAATTTACCTCATGCCTTTTGCTTATACAATAAAAACACTCTCCTGATACTTCTTGGCCAAAACATTTTCCTCACTGATAGTGTTAAACACCATTTGCATACAACCATATTCCACTGCTTTTGTTACTTACTCATTAATGCAAAGCAACACAGATCCACTATGAAAGCAAAGCTATTGCTTCACTGTTTGTTGTGACCCTTTCTCAACCTTATTTCAGTTTAAAATTAGAAATCTGAACATGAAAGACTCCTGGTGTTCAACAGTCTAAAGCATTATATTATTTGTCCAGCAGTGCTACTCTCCTCCATAACAATGACAATAGAAATTATATTTCCGTATCTCAGTTTTCCCAGTTTAGCTAAGTTTAAACTAGAAATGAGACAGGGTTTACACTGAGATGGCACAGCATGAAGTAGAGCATCTTTGACAAGTGTGTCCTGCTCTATGCGTTCCATGCAGAGAGTATGTTACTCATGTTAGACAGCACATTTTGCAGTGTAGCTTTTTGGACAACTGCTGGTGAATTTGCCAAGCTTTCCTCTCACAGTTCAGTGAGACTAATACACCACTCAATATGAATAAACACACAGACAGTGTGACTCTTGCTGGAAATGCTTTTGATTTTTTATTAAATGAATCTGGGCAAAAGACAGAAATCTCACTCTTCATTATCAAGAAATCTGAACACTTCCATTCTCAAACTTTAAGACTAAGATCTGAAAGTGTATGTAGCTGTATCTTTCTAATACACTGTTTACACCCCTCCCTCCCAGTTTAAATAATAGTTTCATTTTATTTTTGTCATATGCTTACTCAACACTGCAATATTTATACTGCAAACACAGTAGAATTTACAACTCTTGCTCATTCTTAAAAGTTCGATTTAGAACTATATCCTTTTACTCCTGCCTTCTTGTTGTTTTGTTAAGGAACCATCTTTTCTCCCTTATTCGTAGTGTTAGCAGCCTTCAAAGTAATATGCATGTATTTTTTAAAAGGAGAAAAAAGATTCAACAGAAATATTTCAAAACATTACTTTAAAGATATCAGTGTACTTTTGGCTACTATTACCTTATTATTTGCTTCAGGCATATTCAGTTAATTCACTCAACTCAGTTGAGGTTATTGTGTGGTCAGATGAAGAAGAATTAAGAGAATACACCTTGACTGCTCCTCTCTTGAAGTAACAGTGAAATTTTGCATTCATGTTTAAGACTGCAGTTCTAAAAAAAAGAAATAAATTCTTTCCTAGGGTTGCATGTGGGGTTTTTTTGGTTGCTGTTTGTTGGTGGGGTATTTTTTGTTTGGTTGGTTTTTTAATTAAGTGACAGTAATCCAGCAATAAATTTGCCTCACTTCATCTCAAAAAGGAACAGTCATTCAGGACCAAACTTATACACTCTCTATACCTTCTACCAAGTAGTTGAATATTTCTAAGACTATTTCAAAGTTGTATTTAAAAAAATCACAGTTAATGCTTTAGATAATCTTCTGAACACAAAGATACATATTTGAGCAAAGATAGCTAGCACTGATCTAGAGTTTTGTTAGTATAAACTAAGGAAAAAAAAAAAGGGATTGTCTGTTAACTATTTCCTGATTATGTCAACAATATCCCCCATACAACCATGGCAAAAGCCTAGGAGAACTACATTGTTTGCAATGTAAAGTACTAATAATGAAAGTGAAGCAGATGACTGTTGATTACTGAAATTTACTGCTACTAAATTTGGAGAATCTATATCATGTGTCCAGTCATCTCTCCAAGGATCATGAACAAACAGATTTAGACTAGCTGGAGAACTACTGCATAAGATAAACATGAAATAACAAAGCCAGCTAAAAATAAAAACCAGGAAGCAAAACCATTGAGAAATTCAGAAGTATAAAAATACCTGGAAACTTAGAAGTGCAGTTAAGGACTCTCAGCATCAAGTTCTGGTTTACATCCTTTTTACTTAATCTAAGACTCCAATTACTGCTTCTACTAGGTTGATTCGCATTTGTTCGTATGAAGTGCAGTCCCCCCCCCCCGCAGTCATGAAGACAAACCAAACCAAAGACAGTTGCTTGGTTCTGCAATATTGATGCTTCTATTGGAGTGATGAAGAGCAAGGAGAATGCAGTGAAAGGCAAGAAAATAAAGGTAGTCAGTTCTGACTTTAATAAGCACAGTATGTCAATTTTTATAGCTAGCTAGCTAAAAAAAAAAAAAAAAAAAAAAAGCAGAATGATGGGAAGCTGATATAGCACACAAAAACTACTAATGTATATTTTGGTATATTATAAGTATATTTTAGAATAAACTCTAGCTTAAAAATAAAATTGTATAAGACTAACCCCTCCCACCTCTTTTACTGGCTTCTAAAAAGTGCTTTGTCAGATGCTGATGCATTAACTAGATTGCTCTATGAAATACTTTAAAGGGAACTTGTAAAGTGTATCAATCTCCAAGTTCTAACAGAATTTGTAAAAGCTACATTTCATAAAAGCTTTCCAGATCCCTCTTGAGTGCACTGGTATAGCTAGCACACAACTTTTAAAAATCTGTCTTCCCTGCACCTTTGGCAAGCACACAGGAAGAAAACTGTGTGAACACTTTCAATCTGTACCAGCATTCTTTCTGCTTGAAAGGACACATACAAAATTAAGAAAAACGAAGAAGCTATTTTCTAAGTTCTACAAAGTAAGTTTTATATTCCATTACACTAGTAATTAAAATGTTACTTAGCCCTCAATTTTATCACAAAATATATTAAAACTACATATAGTGGATCTACCAAAAAGAAAGCCAGATCACTCTTAAAATCTTCAGCTTCTGTATTAGCATTTTAAAAAAAATTTCTAACACCTCTTCAGATGAAAAAAAAAAAACAAAACCAATACCGAGATACATTTTCTCATGGTCTCCAATAAACATATCCTTAGATTATTATCTTCAGCAAAGGTATCCTATTACAGTTCAAATTTACAAAACCTGAAGTATATAGAATCATTGCTGGTAAAAGAGAAAATGTAACAATCCTTCTCCGAACAACAATAACTGTACAATACAAACCAGCTAAAAATATGAAGTTATTAAGAAAGGGAAACAGTTTCTCCTCTTAAACACGTTAGATTCTTAAAAAAATATATTAAAATTATATCAGCTATTAGTTTTCTATTAATTTCAAGCTTTCTTAAAAAAAAAAAAAATTAGTTTTATTAAATTCCCAGATGACTTGCTGATTTAGCCCAGGAAGCAGTCACAGGCCTAGTGTAAAATTCTGTGCTCTCCTAAGCTGTCACTGTCTTTTATGAAAGATGGCCATGCAGGTATTGCTGTTTAAATCTTCTAACTCCGTAATATACAGCAAAGCATTTCTTGTCCTCAACAGAATATTCAAGTAGATTTTGCAGGAACCCTGCTGGTCTGTGCACAGGATCAATTTCCAAGGTATTTTTGGGAAAGTGGAAAATACAGTGTTAACTAGACTGCCTACCTAATTGCTGTCTTATCTGAAACTGGTAAATAGGAATAAATCACAGGACAGTAGTAGCGCAATATATTTTTTAAAAAATTGGTCTTATACATAAATAATAACTATTTATACTATGCCAAACCACAAATCTTAAATTTAGATTTTGTTACATCTCAGTATTGTATGGGACTATAATACTTAAAGATAAAAACCAGGCCCATAGCTCAGAATGAAACCCCACTTGTAAAGGGCTAAATTTGCTGCATGTCCGCTTTCAATGATTTAGGGTCAGAGTGACAATGCTATAAAATAAGGGTCAAAGCACAAAAAGACCAAGGCCACAGAACAAAGAGCTTTTCGTGTCCTGAAAGAAGTTGCTTTTTTGTAAGCCTGCCTTCTGGCTCAGACAGTAAATTTGTCTTTTTCTTAACATCATCCCTACATGACTTCTATAAAATGCCAGACAACAGTATGACTTATGAAAGGTGAGGCTGACTTGTTAGAAGAAATCAATTTAACTGTTAAGGGAATTCCCTAGTTAACGGCACAGGAACCTCCCAGTAACTGCTATAACTTTTCCAGTTGTTAGCTGTATTTCTACAACTTTGTTATTTAATTAATCACTTCAGCAGAAGTTTCAAGTGTCCTTAACACCTTTGGGGTGCAGATTCGTAGTCATATTATCTACTTAGTTTATTGTTTATTAAATGGTAGCTGAGGAAATATGCAGGAGCAGCAATCTTTTCCCCACCTGCCCATGAAATATTAATAGAATAATACTAATATTAACAGATACCATCTAACACACATATCTGTATACTCCCTTTCAGAAACATTCATGGTTTGGTTTTCTATTTCCCATCAATGGGAATCACTACTGACAGAACTGAGCTAATACAAAATAAAATGGTGCTTTCTGAGGCTGACACAGGTCGATAAGCAGTGAATTTAATTTTTCCAGCTAGAAAATGAGCTTCACTTAGGATATGCTTTTTCAAAACAACAACAACAGTTTTTCCAAATGAAAGGAACTTTATCCATTGAAAAAAAAAAAAAGACAAAGAGGATAAGGATGCCGGGTGCCTCTTACGGCTTTATATTAAGCTAGATTTTCAATATTTCATAACAATCTTTAAGTAACACCATGCTGAATTAACTAGAAGTTAACATATTAAGAAAAAAGATTTATAATCCAATACCTAAAATACACCAATAGTTAAAAAGAAAAAAAATGTATTCTTAGCCCTATCAAACTGTCTAATAAATACCTAACAACCAAAAAGACAACATTCATCTCTGAAAATTAGCATCTGACTTTTTTTTTTAATAAAAGGCTACTTGACAGTACACTCTTTGAGCAAGTATCAGTATTGCAAAAAATACCTCTCCATCATAACCCAAACCCATATGAAAGAATAATTGGATTTATCACTAAGTTATGCATTATCTTTTTTAGCAGGTCTAAAGCAAAACATTTTGCAAACTCAGACTTCAAATAATTATTTTCCCCTTCAAAATAGATGGTTTCTGCCTTCAAAGTTACTATTTTTATTTTTTTCAGTCCTACTAACTTACTTAAAAGCTCGAACTGGAGATTCAGATATGAGGAATTAAGTTAAAAAATATAAAAAAAACCCCTTACCTATTGACTGTGGAGATCTAAAACAGCTGAGTTTCAGTGCCAACAAAAAAGAAGTTTTATGAAAAAGATTCCTTTGCTTTTAATCTGCATTGTTATAATATCTGATTCCTATATTAATTCTTAAATGTAGCATTTAAGAAAATTATCTGTGCTTTTTTCTTTCTATAAATTTAATACAATTGAAAAATATTTTAATATAGGAAAAGCCTAGTGTAACATATCAAAGGCCTACTCCAATCATTCTACACTTTCTGAAGGAAAAGATTACTCCTCATCTCTCAAGAAGTACTGGTGCAAGTATACTGATTCTCCTTGTGGTGAATAGCAGCCCACAAGTTAAGGAACTGATGCAAACTGGCAGATTTCCCCTTCTAATTCTGAGTCATATGCGTCATCTTTTTGTCAAAAGCTGGGAAGAAAAAGAGTCTCTCTTCCAGCCTGCCACATGAAACCACCTGCTTAACACAGAACAGACCGATATTGCAATATTGCTCTGCACATTGCTGGTACTTACACATTTGTTCTTGCTTTGTTAAAATAAACAAAACTCTGAAGACAGCTTTAATGTTAAAGACAGAACTTATTTCTTTGATTTAGGGCCAAAAATCAAGCTGGTAAAAGGAAAAAAAAAAGATAAGTCATGTTGGCATGAAAATGCTAATTCTTAAATTGGTAGTGTCTTACCTGCAAAAGACTAAGGATTCAGCTCCTTAAAAGCTTACATGTATGCTTGGTTTAACCACCTAGATTCAGATGGATTTGGTAGAAATTCTCAAAACCAGTTCATGTGTGTGATTAAGACCTCTTTATCACCACACATGATTGCCAACTAATCCCTCAAACCCATTTCCCCAACAAAACCAAGTCTCCCCAAAACCCCAGAGAACCTAACAACTTCTGTGGGTTAAATTTCACGTGCTCCATTTTTTTTTCTGTTATTAAGAACCAAGAAAGCTATTTTCTCCTTTGACAGATCGATCAAGGTCAGTCATTGTTGGACTATATATGCTGTGTGATGACACAATCTCTCTTTCAAAAGCTCCAGCACCAATTAAGGTTGGGCACATCATTGCCAGCAGAATTCATATTTTCAATTTGCACTGGAGCTGCTGAGCAGACCTGCAGAAAATAGGTGTAAACGTTTACTGAAACAATGCATTGTAGTATTTCTCTTGATCTGTGGCACTGCCAGAGTGATTTTAAGTAAGTATTCTTTATAAAAAAAACCCTTGAAAGCAGTTAAAGCAAGTTCAGGACATTTATAGTAAGTTGTGCAAAAGAATGCAAAGATAATACAACATGACAAAAGAATGTAAAGATAATACAACATGACAAACTGATAGAGTGTAGGAACAAACATGCTATTTTAATTACAGATTTTTTATATATAAGTACACATAAAATATATAATAAAATATTATATGCATCCACATAAAATAAGGTAGAGGGACAGGTATAAACTCACACTCACTTATAAAATGCTCTTTGATTTGAAATTTGTACTGTGCCACAAGCATTTACATGGCTGGGTGCATACATTTCAATATAATGAGAAAATTTGCATTGCTGAAATGAGAATACTGGAATCCTTTTCAAGAACCATAACATCATCGTTTGCATTACAGGTTATTATTTACAAGTATTCAAGATGTTCTGTAAATCTATAATGAACATTGCAACTGTGAAAACTGTAATTTATTATGTAATGCACTGTTATATAAATTGTTTAAATTGTGCACAATACAAACAGATGATCCCTCCTACTTGGTTAAATATTAAATACAGCACCTGATTACTCATCTTCAACTGAATTTTTTTTGTTACATTCAATATATTTTCTTTGATAAAATTACTGACACAAAGTACCCATCTGATGCCTTATCCTGGTTGTCAGGTGGTTTGTTTTTTCTTATTTATATGGAATTAATTATTCATACTGTCTTATTAATTTGAATAACTTTATAGTATTTTGAAAGAAAATATTTTACTCACCATGTATTCCATTCCATTTTCCTTAGCATTTAGCGAAAGACATTTAAATTTCTGTGCAATGTTATCTTACCCCACAAATCCTAGTATTTTTCAAAGAGTTTGCTGTAGCACATGACAGCAAATTAAAAGTGAACAAAACCCACCACTGAATAAGTTATGCCTTTTTGACACTGGCAAGAGTGAGTGGGGTAAGACTCTCTTGGAAGGCGTTTCTTAACTTGTAATTCAGCAAAGCATAAGAACTGGCTTAACTTCCTCCTCATTCAGTGGAGCACTCCGAGATATGAAAAATGAGTTAAATAAACGATTTAGGAGGGTAATCACAAAGACCATCTTTTGCCTGGGGAGACCCTGGAAAAGTCTCCACAGCTTCCCTCTTTTTCAGCTCAGGGCCACAGGCACCCAAACCTGTTCTGGAGTACACTGCTGCTTTGAATTGCCCTCTAGTGTTAGCCTTCATTAATTCCTACCTCAATGACAAATTCTGTTCAGGTTTTTAATACTGGAAAATGGGTCAGCAACAGAAGTTATATTCACATAAAAAAATAAAACAAAAAAACCTGAACAGCATTTCAAACTCATTTTCAGATCAGAAGACTGTGAGGTTGACAAATTAAGTATTACACACCAAAATACAAGAAGTTTGTATATCTAAATGGCAAAAAAAATAATCAAGGACAATAAATTTAAGAGATAACTTATGAACATTCTTGTATTTTATATTTGTTAGTTTCTTATGCAGTTTCACAAAAATATCAATTTCTGAAGCAAACACTCAATATTCACAGCCAAATTCACCATAATTATGATGATATAGCTGGGATCAAAGCCTTAACGAAAACAGAAGAGTTGCTGGTGTCAGAACAGAACACAGTCTAGCAGTACTAATACCCTGGAAGGAATTATTTTCTCACTGCTAATTCAAGAGTCTCCTAGTTATACCCCAAACCTAGATGCAAATGAAGACCTAGATTTTAAACCTGGTAATTCTAGAAAGAAAGGCAAACATTTTCCTGAGAGTTTATTTCAAACCATATTTTATCTTCTCTTGAATTGATTAGAGAGGCCATGAATTTGGGACCTAAAGAAGTATAGTGAACATAGTGAATAAAACTTTCATATCATATAGGCTACAGATTTCCACACACATAGAATTAAAGATGTGACCCTTTGTTTAAAAAAATAGTCTGGTCATACAGAACTAAAATCCCTAACTCATACTGACTGACTGAGAGATGAAAAATTATTTTTAGATTTTAGGTGATAACACAGATGAAGAGAAGTACAGATTTGACTGCTGGTTTTATAACTCCTGTGCTTGGCATTAAAAGCATCATTACCCTCTCTCCTGAGAGCCTGGAAAAAAACCTTTTGGTTTTAGGGACAGGCTAATCAGTACATAACATTCTTTCGATCAGGAGTTCTTTTTGCCTGTGCAAAATGCTGACATAAGTGTTACAGTATCAAAAGAGAACTCTGTCTGCAACAAACTTTCTTGTAAGAGCCATTGCAACTTTTCATAACAGATGGAGTGTCTTCCTTGTCTAATTCTTGAACTTGACTAAAATAGGGACTAGCTTGCAACAAGAGAAAGTAAAGTGTTTTCAGAATTACTAATGCAATAGTATCTAGCACAGTATCTACCCATTCTACTGACAGAAAATTTTGCTCCAAAAGAATACAGAAATTATAAAGCAATTTTTTTCGTTTATCAGATCCACTGGAAGTCCCGTCTAAATCTAAAAATGACTTAGATGATGCTATATCTATGCTGAAGTAGAAAATTATCAGCTAAAGTTGGGAAGATCATAATCATGTCCATAATCACAATACTTTCAAAATGTTTATGTTAACTTTCATATGAATACTTAAATCCATTTCTTTCAGTGGGAAGAAAGGGAACTTTAAAAAACATTTCTTTATATTGCTCTTCATATCAACTAGGAAGTGGACACAAAAATCAAGAAAATCTTTGACCTGAAGGCTTAAAAAAACCCCAAACCTCAATAAAACCCTCAAAACAAAAAAAACCCCATAGGACATTCACAGGAAATAAAAAGCAAGCTCTTGAAATTTAGTGGGTTAAAGGAAAGGTGTAAATACTGTAGAGGTATTTGCATATTACTAAGATTTTTCAGTACTACACAAATTAAACAAATATTGCTGATTTCTTGCTTTGAGTAGATTATCTTGCTGGTATCGTTTGAGAAAAAGCACTTATTTTCTCATAATACTGCTGTAAAAATTTAGAATAATAACAAAACAACTTGTTTTCAGAAAGAAAAAAAAAATCCTGTCCCCCAAAAAATCAGAAAAAAATTTACCATGAATATCCCTTTGTTTGAAATAAATTAAAAATTAACAAAGCTAGAAACAGTGGTTTATTCAAACACACTATTCAATAAGCAGTAGCATCTTCATACATGCCCTTTTTCATGTTAGTGTGCAAACAGCAGTCTAAACCAAGGTGGATTAAGAAGCCATCAATACAGTAGTTGAACATTTAAGAACTTTGATTACATTTCTCATTCCCCCACCCAAAGCTTAAATGTACAGGTCTACATAAATTTTACTTAGATTTTTGTTGAAATTAAACAAAAAAAATAATTAAAAAAAAAGGGGGGCAATACCTTGCTTAATTAAATGTTTGCACTTGAGAAAAATAAGCACTTAAATAGTCCAGTTAGCATATTTTAACTGTTTTCCCTAAAGAATTTGCATGTATTTTGCTTTTCTTTTCCTATTGCTTTGCAAGCCCATTTTATCAAGAGACAAGGAAAAATGATGTGTAAGTATGCCAGTCTTAAATCCTTTCTATATACATGTTTCATTAAATACCCGATGTAATAATAAAAGTTAATGTCTATTTAAATCTAATAGTATACAAAACTCCATTTTAAAATAATGTTAGGGCTGGATTTAGTTTAAACTAACAAAATCCAGAAAATTCAGTTGCTTCAGATATCAAAACTTAAAACAGTCATGCCTAAGATATCACAGGGTTTCAAACAATGGTTGATTTTGCATCTGTTGTAATAAGTAGGCATGGGTTGCATTTATAGCTACATATCTCTTCCAGAAATATTATTTAAGTTGCCTTTGAAAAGCAAGAGAAGTCATTAAGGAAAGCAGAAATGAGTTGTCAAAGTAATCTGCAGTTCCTTTTGGATGAGCAATAAACATGCATTGTCAGCTTTCAAATTATGATTCAGTCAACAAGGTTTGTAGAGCCTCAAGTGTTACACCTACAGCAGGAATAGTAAAAGTGGCCACACAGAGTTCCACGTCTGAAGAACTTCAACAAAGAAGGTTGTACATTTCTATCTTTTCAACTTCATTCCAATTAGATATTGCAAAACAATTTACAAAGTCAAGCACACAATTTGCAATAGCCACATCAGCAATTTTTAAGGGGCAAGCACTGCAGCCCTTATTTCAGGCTGAACTTCCAACAAAATCAATGGCAGTTTTGTTAAATAAGAACTATAATAGCAGAGGGTAAGAGTAGAAAAATAAAAGAAAACACACTCCATCATCTTTCTTGAAAGTTTCACCTACTCTTTGGGTCAAGGAACAGTCATGCTGACTACCAATTACAAAACAGCTCTAGAAAAAAAAAATTAACATGGGCCAAATTTCAGCACAAAAGTGTTCTAGAGCAAATCAACACTTAAAAACTGGATTTTAATGATAACTGACAACTGCAACAGTCTTACAAGATATTTGACCTCATAAATGAGTAAGACTCAATTACTATATTACTGAAAAACTCTTTGCACCTTATAAAATCATTTAGACTTGTCTAAAGTTCAAAATACTTTAATATATATGAAATTTATTAAAGGAAAGAAAGTGTGCATCTAATGAGAATATGATTCTGCAAATCCTTATTCATGGTAGTGAGTTATTAGGACTACTTGTGTATTTTAAAGTTTGAAGGATTAGGCCCTAAATTTAAAATCCCTTTGATTTACAGTTGTGAACCAGAAACCACCTTTTTTTGCTGAATAAGAATCTATAAGAAATACTCTGAACTTGTGTCAGACCAAGGAACACTCCATCAAACTTTCACCTTTTAAATATCTCACAAGGGAGCCTTAGATACCTTTGCCTTGCAATATAATCCTGATTTTCATTAACAAGAATGTAACTGCTTTTGTACAGAAAAAAAAAAGAATTTTTACAGAAAAACTGTTAAGTGAAATCCTTATTTTTCTAAGAGAACCAGGAGAAAAACAGAGGGGAAAGAAAAAAAAAAAAAAAAAGAAAAACCCCAACAGAAATGCAGTACATTCAGAGCAGTTTCTGGACAGACCGAAATATTTATTTTATTTGGGAGCACATTAGGCATGTTACCCAAACACCAGCACTAATAAAAGTACTTTCACTGTGTTTAAACACATAAAGAAAGGATTAAAAAATAAAGAATTACCTACTCACTAATTACAAACTTCAAAGTTTATATATAATCTTGTTTCACTTCCCATACTCAACTGATAATTTTCTGTAGGTGGTCTTAATTACCCTAAAATTATGGTATTTTATGAAAAATATATTCAGAATATGTCTGCCTTCAATACTTCTGTAACAGGAGGTGTATTACTGGTAAATGCCAGCAATTCTTCAGTTCTACTAGCCCTTAGTTACAACAGTGAGGAAATATGAAATTTACACCTCACTGGATTTGCTTGGTAGAAATCAGCAGTTCAGGGATAATCTGAAATTTTGTTTTTTTTAAAACTTCTCCTATTTTATGGTACAATTACTTCCTACAAAAAAATGTGCTCTTAAAGACAGACAGAACCGATTAAGGATAAAAACTGAATTCCAGCTGAAAGTTTGAATTGCTAAAGTCACAACACGTTCATAGAATTTGTTGTACTAGAACATATTCTGCTGAAGATACACTCTTACAGTTTTTACTACTCCATTTAGTATTTAAACAAATTTACTCAATCCAAGACCAGTTACTATTTTAATTTCAGTTGTCTATGTAAATGCTTAGTTAAGACTATTCGTATATGAGCAGATAGGTTATGATTACTCTGAATGGATTTCTCAGTTTCAGCCAAATTAGTACTTTCAGTGCAAAGCAGGACTTGCAATATGAGTGTAGCATAGTCCGTATTATTACTCTGACATGTTCACTGTTTTACTATATAATATCTGTTTACCGACAAATAGATTAAACAAATGAAATTTCTGACTATTCTGGTACAGGTGGAGGGCTCTGAAGACCACTTTTCTTTCTCTTTTCTGCTTCTTTGTTTGTCAGGTAGCTAGTTTATTAATGTCTTTAAAAACAAATTTTACCCACTACATGGAAATGCACTCAACTACCTCTCTACTCTATTCTATTCTTTAACACATCCTTCCCCCCAAAAAAAAAAAAAAAAAAGTTATTGAAAAATAATTTTTTTATTTCATTCATACTTTGTTTTTGGATTAGCAACATTTCAGTTGGAGTAATTCCCAAGACATGAATAGGAGAACAATACTATATGGAGAATTTATATAACTCAAATGGATCAAGGCTGTTGCAAACTCAGCTTTTTAGACATACTTTTGGCCACTTCATTTCCTTCTGAGCACAGCTTGTGTAAATACTTTTTACTTAGTCTTTTATAATTTTACAGGAGAAGTGTAAAGAAGAATTATTTTAACAAATAATAAATTCGTGAATAAACTCAGCATAACTGGCCTATTTTGAAAAATCTGAATAAGTTATACTTGTGTATACATTTTTTAAAATAAAGAACATATGAAATAAGAGAAATTTTAATACAATATATACCAAGCTCATGCTCCATCAACCTTCCAGAGAGTTTTTCAATCACAGGAGTAAGTCGTTCTCCAAAATCAGCTCTCTATTGAAAGGTCAAAACCTGCAATAAAAATGTCATGTATTATAACATATTTCCAACACCCAGAGTTTCATGGTTGATCCCCAAACATAGACGTAGGTCATCAGCTTGACCCTCGCATTGTCTATGTTACAGGAAATCCTAATTTTAAAAATACTTTTTTTTTTAAACCAAACTGACTTGATTAGGAACACCTGTGATATGCCTCTTTATTATCAGAAGCCTCCTGAAACAAATCAGATTAGCATGTTTCTGCTTTCATTCTTCCTGCAGCATTTTAAGATGAAAGTAAGATGAAAAAGGAAAAAAAAAAGGGGGGGGGAGTAAGGGGCGTTGTTCTCCTTTCCTACCCACTACTAATCTCTCCCTCCACCCTCAAACAAGCAAATAAGTTTTTAAGTAAGTAAACTACTTAATGGATGTGTGATTATTACTGCTATACTTCCTAAAATATGCTACTGGCTGTTAAGTATTTAAGTTCTTGTGTTTCTCTTTAAGGAGTTCTAATTTTTTTTTTGCTCTTCAAGCTAGTAGCATTATTGCCTTTATGACAATGTAGCCTACAAATATTAGCTACTTTAAAACATAATACTGGAAGAATTACTGTCATATAATACACTCTGAGAGACTAAAAAAAAAAAAAAAAGGTAGTCATGATCAGATAAGAATAAAGTATAACTTGAGAGAGGTAATAACTATAGTCAAATAACTGGAGGAAACATTGCATTCACACAGCCAAAATCTTAAATGTATTTTGACTTTATTTGGACTTTTTTACTGTAGGCACTATGACAAGATGCATCCTAGGCCTAATAAATGAGTAGATGATGCCTAGATCAAGTCACCTGCTTACAAATATTTTCATAAATCTGTTCTTTATTCTTTAAGAGTATTCCAGAAAATACTAACACCCCCCCCCCATAGCTATGGAACTATAATAAGCACCCTGCTTTAACAAGACAAAAGAGTTTGTCTGTATTTTCATGTATTCCACACATGATCTATTTTACCTTTAAAAAAAAGTTTCTGTTCTTAAACCAAAACCACAAAAGTTGTGGTCTCCCCTGTGCTTATACTGAGATTTAACATACTTGAAGATAATATTGAAACTGGACTCACAAAAGGTATTTAAAATGAAAATACAAGCCTAAGCCATTTGATGTGTAATTATCTTTTTCTGAAACCAAATCTTCAAGTGAATGTCAGTTCATGCTAAATAAAATAATTAGTTGTGACCAGATTAAATGTTGAGAAGTTTATTAATAATCTATTTACTGTGGATACACTCATTGCAGTGTCTGAAAACAAACTAAATAGTCACGGGGCGGAGGGGTCCTATTTCTAACAGTGGTTTCCTTTAGACATTAATAACGATCACTGAAAGTCACTCCTATCTTTCAGTTTTGTGCAATATAACAATATTGCCTTTAGTTTTAGAACACATCTTGGGAAACCTTTAACAAAATAAAAGCTAAATGTACATAAATTACATTTTCTACTGTTTTGTGTATGTGTGTGTGAGGTCATCCTTATATACTAGTAACTGTTCATTACCGAGATATGGAAAAGTGTTTAGAATTACATAAAGTTAAAAAGCTTATTATTCTCTGTAAAGAGAACTTTTTTTTGGTTTTAATGATATGCTAAAAATATTATTAGATGCAAATATTAAAGTAAAAATTGCCCAACTTAAAGTGTTAGCTGCACTAGAGCTCAAGTCTGCTACCCTCCTCTAATATTCCTGCAAACCTTCTGGATTTCTCATACAGCACACAAAGCTAAGATCAAAACTCTTCCTCAAGTGTGGTTCTATCAACTGTCCAGTGAATAGATGTATCCCAAAGTTTCTTTATTAGAATGAGCGTTTTAAAAACTTACAAGAAAGGGTTAAAAAAAAAATCACTATGGACATTGCCTTATATCCTATGGGCAGAAATTTTTATACCTAGTTTACTCAAAGAATTTCTGAAATTGTCCAGTATCCACAATGAAGATATTTTTCAATAAAGATTTCTTTTGAAACCCAGTTTATCTAGCTTGTTATATATTCATACATCAGTAACCTAAAAATTTTACATAACTCCTGCCAATAATGCACAAAAAAAAATAATTGCAAAGCAACATTTTCACTATCTAAAAAGAGGTTACTGGAAATCTATGGCTACACCTCTCCATTCTGTCTGATGTCCCCTTTCTATTTGTGAGGTATATAAATTTTTTTCTATCTTTAAAATACTTTACTAGTTTTATTAAAAAATAGATGGCTGTGAGAAGAGTCACAGGGGACTATGTACGACAAAAATTTGGGCAGCCTGTCTTAAAAAAAAAAAAAAAAAAGCTTTACTGATAATAGAAAACATCATAATTTTTTGAGATCAGGTTCCAGTGTTAAATACTAAGTGTTTAGAACTTATAATAATATGTAAGTATAAAAAAAAAATAAATCTGTGGAGAATACTTGTTGATGTACATAAAGTTATTTTTAGTTTTAAAAACCTTCAGATAAAAACATTTTTCTGTTTGTACACAAAAGCCTACAATTTCATTCCCTATTTCTTTCACAGACAATCAAAACTAGTCCAAGATGCGCTCTGCCTTTGACAGTTTGTAATGAATGTAAATTACTGGAATGACTTGCAACGGGCCTTTGGGTGTGGGTGGATGACTGCATCTACAAAACAGAATACCTGCAGCACATTCGCAGAATACAGCGATAAGCTTCTTGGTTCTCCCTTACATGTTCAGTAGTTAACTGCTTCCCAATGAAAATAATAAAACCCAGTAAGGTCCTATAAAAGAAATACTAACTGTTATGTGGCTACTTTTTCTGTAAAGAAAGGTCATGTGCTTGTACATGTGTAAAAGTGTGACAGAAAAGCGTTGATACACCTGTTAGGATGGCTTTTGACATTCAAGCTGGATGAGATGTGCACCTTCATACAGTGTTCAAAGGCAAGCTGTACAGAGCCAGGTAGTCTGTAGGCAGTTCCAGTTGTACTTCACTAAGAATTTGACTTATTAGTCATAAAAAGAATTAAGGAATTAAAGACTCCAATTTATTTTTCCTTCTATGACATTGCATTTTAGATGGAATAGTAAGATGTTCAGAATTCCAGAAGTTAAGGATAAAAAAAACAAACAACGAACCAAACAGAAAAAGAACCCCATGATACCTTGGTATCGTATATATAGTCTCCCTTTAAAATGTTACTACATTAAGCTTCCTATCAAATACTAACCTAACACATTAAAAAGTCACATAGATACACAGTCACACTTTCAAATTACTGTTGTTTCTGAAAATTAAAAAAATCTCAAGAGTTATTCCAAGTTTCAGTAGATTTATATCTATAAAATGAAAGGGTACTTCTTGGAAACTTTCAGTACAACTTAGAGGGAGGAAAAAAAAAAAAACCAACCAAACCCCAACCAACTGAAGCTTATTTGGATGTTTTTCCTAAGAATCAAGATAGATGATTAGACTGAAAAGAAACAAAAGAAAAAAATTAATACACACACTATGCTATGTGGTGTATCTAAGCAATGTTTTAGTAAGCACAGAACTTCAACTTTCACTGATCAATATAAGTATATATGTTTAGATCTTTAAGTTCAATTGATATTTCCTCTAAATGTAACTTTTCCAGGGCCAAGTAATCCCAGTTAATGTTTGACATTTTAACTAAGGTAAAAAATGCAGGCAGCACTACAAGGGTCTATTTAAGCTACATGATTTTTTCCCCCAAAATATTTCAAAATAAGGAGTACATCAAATATAAGAAAGGAAAACCTACTTAACATACACTATATACTGATATTAGATTGCTTACTGCTTTCGCTTTAGCCACACCCACCTTTATGTAATTGTAAAATATGGGACTGGTGCAGCTGAGAAATTAAAAGCTTAAAAGAACAGTTGTTTCATGTAGTCAAATATGTGCTAGGTAGATTTTTTAAATAAAATGAAAAATAGATAAAAATTGCATTCTATTGAACATGACTATCGAATAGTGGGAAAAAATGCATATGCACCTGTACAATACTGAATTATAGGGGTTTTTTTGTAAATTAGCTATGAGTCAGGACAGTTATTTCATTGAAAGTGAAAGTCAGTGTTTGTGAGTGCACTTCCACAGCTGAATAGTGTAAATCTCTTCAAATCCTGATATTTCAAAGTATACAGAGCTACAATGAAACAGCTCTGTGCAACATTCCCATACTGACTGCTTAAAACGTTTCTGAAAACACTCTGAAAGTAATCATGCAAATCTAAAGAAATGAGTGCTAAATCTCAGTAAGATCTTACTAGTATCGTAATTTCAAGGATTAAGCTGAATTTTCTATCAAGGCACAAAGGTAAGAATTGTGGAGACAAAGTAAGAAGCAATTTCCAGGAAAAAAATGACTGAAAAAGTATAATTTGTGTACTGGATTAAAAGAATCCAGGGAAACTAAGGATTCGAGGCAGAAAAATCTCCTTGAACTATTGCATTTCTGCATGACACAGAAAATACCTTGAATCACAATCTAGTTGCCATGCTGGAAACGCTAAGTTTTGCATTTCACTTTAAGACTACACGCTCTCAGCCATGTACACAGAAATCTTTTGTACAGCACTTCTGCACCCCAACTCTTCTCTACGTCCCTCCTACGTCCCTCGGTTAACTCGTTATTTTCGGTGGCCAGGGTGCAGAGCGCAAGGCGGCCGCTTCTGGCTTTGAACGCCGCGGAGGGATGCGCGGGGGGGTAACGGGGGGACGGAGGGGGGCAGTGGGAGGGGGGGAAAGAGGAGCGGAGAAAGGCTGTGACCCGGTCCAACCTCCCAGCCCCGCGTCCTCGCAGGCAACCAGGGGGGGCAGCAGCCGCTCCAGCCTCCGCTGAACGGGCGCCTTAACGGGGGGCCCGATGCTGCATTAGCTGCGCATCCTGAGCGCCCGCCAGCTCGACGGCAGCCCCGCCGCTCACAAGGCATCGGGAAAAATATCCATACGCCTTCCTTCCTCAGGACAAAATAATAATTAAAAAAATTAAAAATAATAATTTTAAAAAAAAAAAAAGGTCAGGCGGCCGAAAGTGAAGAGGGAAGTAGGAAGAGGAATAAAAAGTAACGCTTAGAAATTGTGGCTGTGAAGGAGCCCACTGGCCTGGCAGCGCCCGAGCTTCCTCCCTGCCCCACTGCACGGTGCTGTCCCCGCCGGCGCTCCCGCCACAAAAAGATGCCTTGTGAGCCTGTGTGCGCAACTCCGAAACGCGAGCACCCACGCCAAACCCGGCCCCGAGGGGGTTAAACGACGTCGTGGAGGAAAAGGCACCGTGTCACATATTATATGTGTCTGTGTGTGTGTGTGCGGCGGGGGAATCGCGCAGCGCACAGGCTGCGAGAGATCTCGGCGCCTATCACAATAAGCACGATCGCGTTCATACAGCTACGAGAGACCGAGAGCTGCTGGCCACCGAGAAATGACATAGAAACAGCCACCAAAAAATAGCTAAGCCAATGACAAATAGCGACCCGGGTGACAGAGACAGAGAATTTTGTAGGCGGAGAAGAGAAGGTGAATGGCCAGCTCTGATCACAGTATTAGGCTGGGCTATCTATGGGGAGGGTATTTACTCGTTTTTGGGGTGTGTAGGAGGAAAAGAAAAACACCTAGAAATAGCTGGCACGATTTAAATGGTCTCGGATTATGTTTTCCCCCCTCTAGTTCAGGAAGGAAACTCGCCTTTTAACGCTAAGAGGGGGGAAAATAGCCCTGTGCAATAGGCGATGAAGAGCACTTTGGTCCTTCGTTAATACCCAAAGGGACAGAGACGATAAATATGACAGCATGTGGCAGCACGACCGTCACCCAGGTTCCTGCAAAAGGCGGCTCCGTATCGCGACACGGGAAATTAAACGCTTGAGTGTTGAGGTGGAGAAAGCACTTAAACGGAGAAGTTAATCTGCTAACATGGAGAGGAAACAAACGGAGGAAAAAAAAAACCCCGAAGGTTGTCCTCTTATTTTTTTTGGGGGGGGGAGGGGGGAGGAGGGGGTGGCGGAGAGAGAAGGGACGGGGAAGAGAAAGAGCGAAGGGGCAATAATCCAGCTTACGAAAACACTGGGAGAGAGGAAGGAGGAGGCGGGGGGCGGGGGGGGGGCGGCGAGCGAGAAAGGGAGATGTGCATGTAAGTGGGGAAGTCATCCTGGCTGCTGCAGAGCAGGGAAGCAGGAGCCTCCGTGTCCCGAACGCTGCCCTGAAATTTCCACGGCGGAGAGGCAGGGGGAGAAGGCGGGAGGGAAGAATCCACTGGGGAGGGGTGTTGGAAAACCGGGGTGGGGGGAGATGAGGGAAAGCCCATCCTGTCATGTCCCGGGAGCGCGGGGCAGGGGGACCCTCCGAAGCTCGGGCTGTCCCGCGGCTCCCGCGTCCCCCGCCCGCCTCCCCGCCGCTGTCTCCGGGCCGGGCCGGGTGCGAGCCGGGCTCCCGGGCTCCCCGGCCGGGCGCGGTGCCGCCCCGGGGGGGTAAGCGGGGTTACCTGCCGGAGGAGACGGCCGCTCCCGCCCGCTCTTGGGGCTGAGGGAAGCAAGTGACAGATCCGCCCAGGACCTGCCGCCGCTCCAGGAGCCTCCCGCCCCCTGCCCACCGGGCTCCTGAGGTGACTTTTCCCGGCGGCGGGGCGCAGGTTGCCCCCGTTTGCCGAAGACGCGCTTCCCCCGCCCGCCCGCCCAGCTCCCTCTGCCCCAGCCGCGCCCGCTCCCTCTGGCTCTTACCGCCTGTGCTGGCGGCGGTGGTACCCGCTCCGAAGCGCGGCGACGAGGGTGTAAGCGGGGATAGCGCAGGGTAGAGGGGGGCGAGTTTGGCGGGGCGGGCGGGCGGCCCCCGCGCCCCGCGCCTCCCCCGCGGCGGCGGCAGCAGCGATGCGATCGGGCATCACTCGAAAATGGCGCCGAAAGAACGGAGGGCTCTTCATTCAAATTCGTTAGCGCCAGCCCCGCCGCCCCGGGGCATGCCGGGAACGGGGGGGGGCGCGCGGGGGCTGAGGCGGCAGCGCCGCACGGACACGGCGCTCGCTGTCAATGCTGCCCCTCCCCCCCGCCCCCCTGCGCCCGCCACCCGCCGCCCGCGCGCGCTCCACGCCCTCCCCGCTCAGCGCGCGCTCCCGACCCAACCGCCGCTAATGGGGAAAGGGGGGGGGGGGGGGGGGGGCAGGGAAGGAGGGAGAGAGGGAGAGAAATGTCACCCGTAGCCCGGGCCCGCGGGGGAGAGGTGGCGCGTTAGAGATGTGTGTGGGAGAGCGAGAGAGAGAGAGGGAGAGAGAGAAAGAGAAAGATAGAGAGGGGGAGCGAGACCTCCGCCGGCCCCGCGAACTTGTCAAGGTAAAGGCGCTGGTGGGGATACGGGGGGTGGTGGATAGCGGGGGAGGGGGGGAGACGACAGCGGGTTTTGGGAAGGTAGGGAAAGGGTTTTGGGAAGGTAGGGAAAGGAAGCCCGGCGGGGGGAGGGGGATGTGCGCCAAGAGGACCTGAGGAAAATATGAACAGCGCCTCCCCCACATTGTCCCCCCCGCCCTCCCCCTGCGCCTCTAAGGACCCCCGCGGCTCCCGCAGCGCTCAGGTTGCAGCGTGACCCCCTTTGCCCCCCCCGTCTCCCCCCATAGCCGCGCACCCCGCCGCAGCCGGAGGAGGGTTGGGAGCGCTCGGCGCTTGCCCGCAGCACGCGGGCCCGATCCCGATCCCGCCTGGCAGCCGCCGCTCCCCATCCCCCTCCCGCCGCCGCACCGGCTGCGCGGCGGCAGCGCCCCGAGGGCGCCCCGCCGGCCGCCCCCCGCCCGGGCTTGCGAACAGCCCCTGAACGGCGGAGCGGGGCTGTGTGGGAGCATCGCAGGGCACAGCGGGCCCCGAGTGCCCTACACTGGTCATTTGAAACTAAAAAAAAAAAAAGAAAGAAAAAAAACACACCAAAAAAAAAAGAAAAGCTCTCTCAGAGGAACTTGACGGAGCGAGGTTCAACTCGGGCAGCGCTGGGGCAGCGCTCCCGCCTCGGCTGCGCACGGAGCGCTCAGGGAAAACGCGAACTTTCATTTTCACGCCGCATCCTCCCCCCCGCTCCCCTCCGGCCCGAGCTGTGACTGAGCGTAAGGTACCTGATGGCCGGGTAGTGCTCCCAGCCCCGCTCAGGGATGGGGAAGCCGATATGGAGGTTAGGGAGCTGCCGAAAGCAGCGGGGGAAAGGCAGGCTGCGGTGCCGCCCGAGCCACTCGCTGTCTGCACTTGACTTGTATCTGCTGGAGAGTCCTTCCCTGGTTGCTCCGCGGACCCTGCCTCGGCAGGGAGATCCAGCGCATCCCTGCCAGCCGCTCCTCGGGCTTTCTGACTTCAGTGTTTTGTTCTGTTTTGTGGTTTTGTTTTTTTTTTTTTAGTCTGATGCGCTTTTTTAAAAAGGGAAAAGAAAGCAGAGGCCTGAGACCTGCAAACTGTTGTTCCCATGACTTCGGGGAAGATTTTTCAAAAGTACAGAATGAGAGTCTGGGAGCTCTGCTCCCACTGACTTTCAAAATCTTCCCTTCACGTCTGTGAGCGAGTCATCTTGAACTCGGTTGACTGCTGGCAGACGAGCATTAGCAGGCTCAGGGCCTAATGCTTTTCATGATTCCACTGCTCCCTGCTAGAGCTGCACTGACAAAAATATAAGCAGAACAAGTTTTTGAAAGGGAGAGGTAATGTCTCTTTTTTTTTTTTTTTTTTTTAAACCAACTGCCACAGCAGAAAACACGAAGCCTTTGGTCTCAAAGAACTTAGACCATCATGGCTACGAAAACTACTGCTACTCAGAAAGTATGTAATTCTGGAGCTCCTTAGTGACGAAAGTAGTGCAAGGCAACATGTAAGTAATCACATAACTAATTTTAGGCATTTGTTATTATATTTTCCTCGGATTTGAAGTTTGGTATTGCTAAAGAAACAGATTCCTAATTTTTTAAACCAGGTTCTCAGTGAAAATGAGCCAGATAAAAAAAACTTCTGTTCATAAAGCCATTCTATTAATAAGGAGGAAATATAAATGATTTGCAGTGTATTTACGTTTTTGCTCTTCTTTTAATAAAATCACTCTGAGCAAAATTTTCAAAGTGTGCCTTTCAACTGAAAAGAAATATTTTTAATTTTTTTTTCCTGAAGGTTATGTGCTTGTGAAAATAAAACTTTGCAGTAGAAATAGCAGTGAAAACAGTAAAAAAAAAATTATGATGCTGCTGATACTACTTCTCTTTACTTTTACCCTAAAATAATTCTAGCTATAATTTTTCACCCATTTTTCCAACCAGAGTATAGAAATAAGGTGTAGAAGATGGTATGTCAGTATTCTATGATACACTGTTTCTATGATACATGGTATTCTCTAATATGAATCACACTATTATCCTTTCAGATGTCATTTTGTTAAGATTTTTAATGAAAGTGAAATTTTTACATCCTCTAATATCTAGTACTTGCTTTCAGATTCCATACTTAATGCACATAGGCCCCAATCCTGTACAGAACTGAAATGTATATTATTATGTGTAAGCACATTGAGTAGTTCTCTTCATTATTACGCTTTTGTATTTTGGATTTAAGAAGCTAATAGTGATATGACATAATGATTGTTCTCAGAATTACTTAGGACTGCCCAAAACATAAACCTAATTTAATAGTCTTGGTTTATGCCTTCCATGCATATCTCTTAACTTAAATAATGCACAATTAAAATAATTTAAGGATCAGAATGGGTAAATATTTAACTGAAAATCAGAACAAGTGAGAAAGGCAATTGCTGTAGTGTAAAATCCATGTAATACGAGGTGGGTATTGCATTCCCTGGCTGTAGCATGTGGGAGAGGATCATCAGTTTGTTTCCTCAGTGACTACTGAAGCCAAAAAGTCACAGCAGGAACACAGCTGAAGACAGAAGGGAGAGAAAGGGATTTGTAGCCTCACCAAAAGTGATGTCAATTCTTTAGGTCAAATTTCCATTCCAAACCACTTGGGCTTATTAGAGTGGTGGAAGTCTTCTCTGCTGTGGTAGCAAATATGAGGTTAAGCTGCAGTTTCTATAATGAACTCCTTTCCTAATGCAGTTCTCATTACAGGCCTACCTGAACACCTCCTAGTAGTGCCTGTCCTATGTTTCAGTTCTTCTCCTCAGACAGTGCCATTGAATTGTCAGACAATCTCCTCATACTGTAATAAGTGACATGACCAGCATTTGTCATATTAGCTATTCTCTTGTTGCCAGGGGAAGGAGCACGTGCAGTTGAATATTTTCAGTTTATTTTTTCTGTCTTTTCCTCCATATACATAACATAATGTCTTTATGTTAGTGAGGCAAGGCCGAAATAACAAGTTTTGTTTTTCAGGCAAGGTGCAGTTAGGTTTATGATGGCCCTTAGCTTCTAGGCACTTTCATTCCTTAGATTTGCACCAGCCCTTTGAAAGTTCTGTCTCTGGAAGTGATAGCTTTTTTTCCCATTCATTGCATAGGTTCTCTTATGTTGGATAAGGGAAACTGTTAACACCTGGATCCAATCTAGAGACCTAGTAGGCCCTTCTTTAGCAATCCTGGATTTAGGCCCTGGAGGATCTTGAGACCCTGAATTTGTAAATTAAAAGTCTAGAGAAAATCATTAGAGAGAGTGGTTTATAATATAATCTGTGTTGCTGAGATGACATCCCCACTGCTTCCTGTACTTGGAGTTTCCTATATGCAGCAGACTTTGTGCTTGGATATACTGAATTGTCTAGTCCAGCTGAGAGGTGGAAAACCAAAGCCAGGTACTTATCTGCTGAAAGGACAGAAGCTTATAGCTAGGAGTGGTTAGAAAGCTGCAGGCTGTCTTCTGACTCAGGCATGCATTTCTTTACAAATTACCTTGCTATGTGTTTCTAAGATTTATTTTACAACTGTGAGGATTAGAGGAATTTGTTGTAATGAAAATTGGCATTGTGTCATTACCATGTAACTTTTTAGTTAGATTATTTGGCTTGCTTGGGTTCTTGCATGTTATTCCATTTCATCTGGATCAGTTCCTAGGTAAGTTAGACCAGTTTGGGGGCGCTAAGATGCACCCACATAATTATAATAATTGCACTCCTACATATTACTTTGGTGTGTATTTCTGTGTTTGTATTGTATATGGGCATACAGCCAGTGGGAGTTTGAATTTTTTTCTATTTATTTTTCTAAGTTGAGCCCTGCCTTGCCCCTGATTTTCATCCAGCCTTCTAGATCCCTGTTATAGGAATCAGGCCTCCCTTCAGGCCTCCTCTGTAAATTTTGTATCACTTGAGGTTTAAAGTTTCAGTTTAATAACCTACTGACTGTAGTTGGACATCCTCTTTCATATGTGAGTGTTCTACTTCCTTCTGTAGCCCTTCAGTTTCTGATTTGCCCTGACAAATACGGGATTTAGAATTGCTTTTGCAATTTCAATCTGCTAGCAATGATAGAGTTTGTAATCTAGAAAGGACTGAAGTGGACATAATTTACTATTGTACAATGAAAACAGAGTTTTGAATTTGCCAGAATAGACCTGATCTAGGGATGCTTCTATAGACTGTAAGGACTGCAAGAAGTATGTGCTGGCTTAGGACCTGTGTATACTTTATTAGACTTCCTATGAACTTGCAGATCAAAAATAAAATTTTTTTTTTTGTTTTTTTTTACCTCCTAAGTTTTCAATAGGACATTTTCCATTTAGCTTTTTTTTTAAGCCTCTAAAATGCCCAGTGTAGCATAAAGACTAATGATATTGTTGTCAAAAGGTTGAATTTACTATATTTCGTTCACATCTTTTAATATTGACTCCAATATCTATAGGCCTGACTCATAATAACGAACATGTCCCTGAGGATTTAAGAAAGGATTTGGTATTAAACTTAGGTTCTGTGGTAAAGTTTTGCTAAAATGGCCTAACTGTAAATTCTAAATGTTTTAATATTTTTGTGGATTTAATGATTGTGAAAAGTGCTGGCTCGGTATCTGTGAAAACTGAAGCCTATTCTTTATTCATGGATTAATTACAGCAGAGCAGTTGCCAAGTGATCTTCTCCACAGCATGCATGAACTTCAGCCTGGAACTGAAGAGGACTCATCAAATGGTGAGAAAATAGCGTGGTTGTCATGACTGTTAAGTTAGGGATGCTCTATTATTTTTTTCTGCTTAGCATTGATTCTGTTATTTTATAGGTATTGAAGTTAAATTTTTGTAGGGTAAATTCTGGGGTCATAACCTAATTTCTTCTCCACCCCTCATATATCAGCTCTTTATTTTTCAAGCTTTGCTTTCTTCCTTGCTGTCCTTCACTTTTCAGAAATAATTGTCAGCGATACCCTGCATTCATTAGCTAATTTCTTTATTACTTTCTTTAATGTTAGTCCTTGTGCTTGACTCTGTTCACGAGTAGTTTTGTCAGCAGCACTACTTAGAAGAGTGAAGTTCAGATATGTGAAGCTGTTTGAAAGACTGAAGCTTAAACTTTGCAGATACGTATGCCTGCATTTAAATGAAATGCTACTGAAATGAATGGAGGAGTGAGGGATCTGGAAATGCTCTTAGCTAGTACTAATTTGTTTGCTCTTTTGCTGTTCAGTTTATTTCTTGTAAGACAACTTGATGAAAGTTGTTCATTTGCTTCTCTAGTTTCCCAATTTCTGGGAAATTTTGAACTCTGAGCTTCACAACGTTTATAAAATTTTGGTAGTGCTCATAATTCTTCTGAGAACAAAACATTATTTTGTTTAGCCATTTTAAGAAAAGGTAACTGAATCTACAGAGGAACTAATTCTCTCTCTAATTCACTGCCTTATCAGGTCTTTAGTCTTACTCTTAATAATAATTAAGTAATGATTTTTATATGTATGGATTTATTAAACGTGTATCTTAAAACGAGCGAGTTCCTTTTTTTTTACAGCTATAGATAAAGGATGGAATATTGGTAGCAGGGGCTTGCATGTGAGAATATAGTTGTTGAGCATTGAGTTTGGCTTAGTGGTAATTTAGATAGGTGACAGTTAAAAATAAGAGTGCACACAATGCAGTTCAGGAAACAGATCACAGTAGTCAGAACCTCACAGAATGCTGAGAGATGCCCTAAACGTTTTTTGGTATTTCAACAAATGGCTCAGTAACTGTTTCCCTTTAGTAACTGTTGTAGAGTAAGAACTAAAAGGGACAGAACCCTGTTAGTGGCTTATGATTTCCACAGTTTTTCTTGTTGGAATAGAGGTTATTAACCCTGTTCCAACTGTTTACCCAATTGGGTTTGGAAATGCCAGTGTGTTTAAATAGTCAAGAGAGATGGTGAACCCTTTATACCAATATCTGAACTACACCCTGTGTTAAGAATTACTTTAGTACTGTTATCAACCACTGAACTAATTTAACCTTTGCCAGGGTTCTTTACCATTACATGTTTTAAAAACAAAGTTTAATGCTTAAGCCAGAAAGAAGCAGCAGTTTTCAGGCACAGTGCATTGAGATGTAACCCAGAGGTCATTTATTTTTAATACAGATTCAACAATCCATTTCTTTGTTCTTTCTCGGCCACTTTTTCTTTAGTTTTCTTTTAGGGAGCTGATTCTTGAATTAACTTTAAGCACTTAACTATTTACATTCTGCTTCACCAAACAATTAATCCTGTATTTAAGTTAAAATACTTGCATGAGTATGGCTTTTCAGAGAAGAGTCTGAATCCACAGTAGTCTTTTACATCTCCTGTACTTGACTTTGCCTATCTGGTAACCAATAGGCTGGATCCAGACTAGCGCCAAAGTGTGGGTCTGCCTGTTATTTGGGTAAGGAGAGTTGGGGCTCAGATTTGAATGTGTGCTCAATACGACTGACACAGTGAATGATTACAATATCATTACATTTATTTTCAAATGTAAGCACTTTAGTTGTTTAGCTGAGCAGAGTTTAGATACTCCAAATGCTTAAAGTTGAATGGTTCAAGTTAAGTGGCATTAAGGTTTTCCTAAAGCATTTTTTGAATTGATGTAATGCTTTTACTGCAGTAGAAGAAGAGATGGGCCAATCTCAAAACAGTTTTGAAAAGCTCATTTTCATTACTCTGCTAAGAATATAATTTTGTTTCTTTTGTTCTGTCCCCTTTTGGTCAAATCACTTTCACTTCCCTGACTCTTCTTATACCCATTGTGTCCTGCTAACCTTTCCTCTAATGTCCAGTTTTCTATTAACTTTTGCACACTGATTATTCTTTGTCTCTCTTCTTTTTAGTGGAGTTTTAGAGAGGTCATTATACTTTTTCAATTTCTTTCCTTCTTTCATCAGTTCCTGGAATCCAGCAACAAATAAAACCCTCTGATTGCAACTATGCCTTGGTGAGAAACACACAAGTCAAAATTTAGTGCTATATCAATAGAAAAGGGTAAGCAGAGCATTGTGGATGCCATGTATAGAGAAGGGAACTGGGATTTGCATATTATTGAAAATTATTCCTTAATTTGGAATACCAGTATCTGCATCCAGGTACTGAGATCAGAATTTTAAAGTGATGCATTAAAAATCACTATGTTTATTAAAAAGAAAAAACACTAAGCCAAACCAAAACAAACCCGTAAAAACCCCACCAACCAGAAACTACAAAATCGAGGTATACTGAATAGACTTTGATTAGACTTGATGGCACTGCTTTATTGAACTATGTATCACTGAACTTTTCTTAAGCCTTAGGAAAGACAGCATGGAGTTGGAAGAGAAGCAGGGATCTCCACGAAGGGCAGTCAGTTATACTCTTGGTAAGTTAAAAAGAAATATAAAATTGTATTTCTGTTAAATTTTCACTTTCATGAAGCAACCTGTATTTAGGGCCCTGTTCACTGTGGCAAAACAAAGCTCGTTTTATTGAAACAGTCTCTACATTCTCTGGATTCGTTTATGCTATCACCGCATAAAAATCTGTGTTCTGTTATAGCTGACTTTGTTGTGTAACTCCTCAATGAAAACAATAAATGACATAAGAATCATTAGTTATTTTCCCAGTGATTGTGCTACAGTGTTTTCATGCCTAGTTTCTGAACAAAACAAGATATATAGGATAGTGTTATCTCCTAATAATTTTTGAAACCTCTGCTTAATTTCAGGTCTATTTGATATAGAGTTAGAGGTCACAAAGTCAAGTTTCTGCAAATTGAATGAAACTTAGCAGCTGTGAGTAGAGAAGGGACTCAAATTAGTGCCCCCAGGGTAGAAAAAGCTGCAGCATGGACTCAGAAATTTTCTGTTCTGTTCAACTTGTTGACTTGCAGGTCGGCATGCTTGGTTGGGCTGCCAGTCAACACATGTGTAGTTCAGACCTAGCCACAGTGTGAGCTGCCTCTTGTTCTGCTAAATGTCAGAAGCTGGAATTTGGGGAAATCTGTTAAGAAGGGAATGGGAAAACAGCCAGGCTAGGTTTGGGCCGGGGTTCTGCAGAAGTGTGTTGGTGGCACCTACAAGCTTGCTGATAGGTAACTAGACTTCATTACTTCTGCTAGTCATGAAGAAAACTTGATTTTGCCAGGGCCTTCTAGTCTCCCAAACCGCTTGAGAATCATTCCATTTTATAGTAGTTTCTATACCTGGATTAGAAACATGTTTTTCCTGTCCATGTCAGAGAAGGGAACTGTTGAGACAGCTTCATTGTTTAATTTCTTTGACTGTTTGGATGTTACCTCTGAGCTACTCTTAGGCCATCAAAATTGTTAAACTGTGTTTTCAGCTCTCTCCAGAAACTGACTGTAATTTCGACTGCTGCTATGTGTCCCTGACCCATCCTACAATCTACACTCTTGGAACAGTGCAGAAAATATGCATTGTATTCCAATTAACTTAAATTGTGAAGAAAGATGTGGAGCTAGATACAGGGATAGAAAACAATATTAGGATCAAGTTGCATCAGGTTACCACATTTCACTCCGACTTGGGAAATGCTAAATCTGTAGCTGCGTGATTTTGTCACAATTGTCCTGAAAGGTCTGGTCTGTCCATTCATCTCAGTCAATGAGAAACGGGATTACACTTGCCAGAGGTACTGCTTCACTTACTGTGTAGGCACACTAATTTGGCACATGTCTGATACTTTTAAACTTTCTGTGGAATGTTAGACAGGGGTCAAGATATTACAGTTTTTAAACAGAACTGTAGCGCTGTAGCATATTCTTTAGAAAGTTGAATTTCTCAGAGTAACAGAAGCCTAAGAGTCATGCATATGAAATGTGAAATTTAAAAGCAGTAACATGAGAAGAAACACTGCCAGTCCATTATTGTAAGATAACCATCCTGAAATTTCAACTTTTTGGTTGTCCTCCTGCCCAGTTTTCAATCTGGCAGCAAGGAACATAAACCTGTGATATTCTTTTCCTTTTTCTACTAATTTTCCTATAGTTTTTTTCATGAAATCAAAGCCAAGAGGAGACCAACTCATCATTACCAAAAAAAAAATATCCAAACCAAACTTGCGTTGTGTTTTATGAAAATTTTGGTTTTTCTGTTAGATTCCCAAATATTTTCATTTGGTCCCAGATTTCTTTTTTCTTTTTTTTTTTAAATATCATTGTTTCCCTAATGCTGTCTGTATTACAGGAATGAAGAAATGTTTTCTGCATGTTTATAGTATCTATTAGTGGTTCTTAGGTTCTTATAACCCTTATTACCATGAATCTTGCATAATGTCACCTGTTAAATATTATTTAATGACACCTAGGGCTAACCTGCTTTTAAATGGTTTATAATATATAAAAACATTGTAACTTATAGCATTTTCCTTTTAAACATCAAGATAAATGTGTTTTTAATAAGAAGAGTAAGGTCAAATTATGAATGTTAAGTTTTCTGTGAGCAGCAAAGTGGTGGTATATTCTTGTTTAACATGTTGGGTGCTCCCTGTGTTTTAAACACCTTCACTAAGTGCTTAAACCTAGCAAATAATTAATTATCACTGATTTTCATGAGGATTTTTGTTCCAAAAAGCTGCTCTGTTTTAGTCTAACAATGACTAACACTAAACTGCTTTTTATTATGTATTTTCAAAGACTTTGGTCTTGGATGCTACTCTGTGTGGTCAGACACTTTCACAATTACACACACCTCAATAAATTCACAAGCTTATGCTGTGTCCCTAAAATGGGTGTTGTGGGACAGATTTTAAGAAGGCTTAAGCACTAAAAAGTGACTTGCATAATAGACCAAAGAAACTAGGATAATTAATTTTGAGAAAATAATAATTAAAAGTTTAAATTTCAAGTATGTATCAGTAAAAGCTCCCATAATTTGCTGCCACTACATGTAAAATCCACAAGCAATTTTAAGCCAAAATTCTTTAAAGAACGAGCTGAAAATTCCTGTAAATAATATGCAACTTAGAGATGTATGGAACTCCTTTATTATGTGTTAAATGCTGTAATAAAACAGGCTATCAATAGGTTTTGCTGCATGTTACTAATTTTATTTTTTTTAATCTTGGTATTTTTGCAGGTGTGTGGAGGAACAGGTCCTGTTCTCGCTGTTGTTACTCCCACATAGGCAGACTGTAATTGATTATGTGTGGGTAGGGCCCTATTGAAATTCAGGAGATTCTGCAGTAGTGCGGGGTTCTTTTTGTGAAAGTTCAGTTGCAAGATCAGGACCCCACTGTGACTCCTAACTGTGAATTCTGTCAGTGTATCATTGATTGTGCTGGAACCTGCCTTTTGGGATAATGTATGTATTTTAGACATGAACTAATCATAAAACATTTCTAATTAGAAAATGATTATAATTTACATGCATTCTTTTAATTATGTTTTTTTGGCAGTACCAAATACTATATTCCTCAAAACTTCTTAATGGCACTGAGGCTTTGTGGATAGTTGGTCACATGAGAAAATTAAGCTGTAAGTACATTGAAATGATTGACTTTTTCAATAGTTAGTCTTTACTGATGTTGACAATCTAATGATGATAAAAAATTAATCAAGAGGTTTGACTTATGTCAAATTACTTCAGTTCTTTTTAGAAAATATATAAAGTATACTCGTTAAAGGATTTCATTATTCTTGGGTAATTCAACGTGGAAACCTCAAGTCCTTCTGTACTGCAATTAGGTAGAGACTTTTAATTTGTTTATTTTCTTTATTTTCAGAGTAGCATGTCTGTGACTTGCTCTGTATTTTCACCCATAAACTTTCTGAAATGTATAGCTCTATAAAACCGTTTATATCACTAATAGTTGTGTAGATATTGCAAACTGATTTACTGAGATAATTGTCTTGCTGGGTTGAACATTGACATTTTAATAAATATACGCTTACACTCGTGTCAGTGTAACTTGGTTAAATTTGACTGAGCTGGCATTATGAGTGAATTTGATTATACATGCTGATTAGCTAAGTTTTAGGCAGGAACTACATATTATCCATATCATATATCAGTGGATTCACCCCAGAATAACTATAAATATCTATCCTTGCATTAAGGAGGAAGTTCTTTTCCTGTAGCTATGGGTACAGTCATTGCTTTGACTCTTATTTTTATATACAAATGAACAAAAACTATATGTAGGGATTTCCCTGTATAACAAAAGAAGTATTGTAAATTATGCCCTTTTTTATGATGATGTATTTCCTTTCTGGTATTCAAATTGAAGAATGTTTTCAATTGTCTTAGTGTCAAAAAAATGGGAAAACTGGAAATGTTACTGAATTTGTGAATATCAAGGGGCTGTAAAGGTCTAGAGGAGTTGTGTGTAAGGACAGTTAGAGATTCTGTCTCGTGGAGCAAGGACACAGACAGTAATTGATGAGCGAAGGTTAAGGAGGACGGGATTATTTTTATTGCTTGGCACAAGAGCAGAATGAAAGGAAAATAATTTGAAGAAAGAGCATGACCAAAGAAGAAATCAGACTTGGATCAGAAGCAGACTAAAGACTCCAATTAAAAAAAGAAAACAAAAACAAAACCCCAAAGAAAACACAGAACCAGAAATTGGATGGCAAAAATACACCTGAAAGGAGAACTAAATGCATAGCTACTGGTATTTTTCATTGCACTGAATATATGATAGATTTAAGTTTAAAACATTTGGTAACTGCTTTTCTCTACTTTTTTTTTTTTTTGGTTGGTTTTGGTTTTTGTTTCGTTTTCTGTTGGAAGGGAGTATAAGGACTTTGAAGTTTTGAAGAAGATGCGTTGGCTAGTTGTGAATTACCTGTATAAACCGAGGATTCAAGGTGACAGTTACAACTAAGAACAGAGGACACTGGGTTGCTAAATAAAATTAGTGCTAAGCAGAAGCTGTAATTTCTTGTTCTAACACAAAACTTAGTGATTTTGAAATGCATCATCTTCAACAGCACTCAAACCACAGTTTTATTATGTTCGTTACAGGATGGGAATTTTCAGAGTTCTAGTTTAAAAACTTTGATAGTGATTCTGTTGAGATTTTGCAATATAAAATGAAATGCAGATTTCTCAATATGCAATGAAATCATGATTTGAGAACATTGGATATTTCATTTTGCATAAAAAAAATTGATTGGCATATTTTTTTAAAATGTTTAGAACTATTGGTTTACTGATTTTACCTTTTGATCCTATTGGCCATATATATTCTTACTTGCATTAAGTTGAGTAAAAGAAAGAAAAGTAGAGGGAGATTAGGTGATTGGAAAAAAAACCCCAAACCAACCTAAAACACAGCTCTTTAGCTGTGCTCTAGACCAAAAGAAGTGCTTCAGAACAGATCTAGTTTCAGAGGAGAAAAGGAAGGAAAGTGATGTGCCAGTGAGTGGGGTATGAGGAATCCCCTGGATGTTTCATCTGTATCTGATATTTTTCACTCCTCACCACTAAGAGACAGATCACCTGGGTGTGACTGCTTCTCCTTCCCATGACAGCAGCTTCCCAATACTTTGAGGGAGATAGTGTTGGGGCACAACTCTATTCTGCCTGCAGTAGAGCTGCTACAAATGCTTGGAAGAAAAGGAACTCTGAATTGTCTCCTGCTACAGGACGAGCTGTACCAGCTCTCCACTACTCAGTGCTGCTAACCTCTGTTGTTGAGCACCTGATCTGATTGTTTCTTTGGTTTAACCTATGCTGTGATGCTGTAAAAGACTGAAACCAGGAGAAAAGTTAGAAATAAGATAACGAGAGGAGATGATGTTTTGGAATGTAGGGAGTGGGCATTTGCTGCACAGCTACACATTGTGTGGACTTGAGAATACCTCAAGAGCTGAAATGCTGAACTACAGCAACACAGTAAGTTTCCTTCTGTGCACTGAGAAGAAAAGCAAAGGAATGTGCCTGAACATTAAGCATGTTAGTTGTAAGTTTGTGAGATCTTTTTCTCTGTTGCTGTTTGCACTTGGCTTGTATCATGACTGTCCTGTCTTCAAACTGGATGTAGCATGTCTTTGTGTCAAATGAGGCACTCCTCATAATCTAACGTCATGAACATTGTTTTTCTTCAACCCTTAAAAGTCAAAACATGGCAGCATAGACAGCTGTAATAAGTTAATAATAAATGTGACATGAAAGAATTTTCTCATTTCACAGTATTTATGGGAAAAACAATGTTTTGTGTTTCATATACCTCTTGTTTTCCAATCCTAAGCAGATGTAATGCATGAAAATTTTCCTCAACAGTGCTCTCAGTTCTTTATTTCTAGTTAGAACTATTGGTCTTCTGTTAGTAGTTTTTTTCATATTTAGGTTGATGCCCTCAGAAAATCTCTACATTCTCTATGAAAGACACTGTCATGCTGTCATTTGTTTTGTCATCAAGTCTAGGGTAAATCTGCATTTGGGAATCTTTTTCCAATCTTTTAGGGATGGTCATTCTTCTCTGTCAGATGATTTTATTTTTTCAACCAGGTTTTTCATGGATCATGTCTTTCTTGGAAAATCTCTTACTTTTGCCTTGACAAATTGCAGCCTTGCCATGCTTGTTAGCTAGTCAAAGTGTTATGCTACTGTAAATACCGTTTTCCGAACTTACTCCTTTGCTATTTTCAATTTCCTCCTTCAGTTTAAAGCAATAAAGATAAGCTATCTGTCTTTATTTTCAAGGCCCATCAAGACTACTTCTACCTGATACCTCTCCTTCAGTATCAAGAGTTTGACTCTGGTTTTGATCAACATAGGATGCCAACTTCCATCATTCAATCATTACATTTTCAGACCACACTGGATATTTTCTTCTCAACTGCCTCTCATGTATTGGTTGACTTCTTCATAAACAGCAATGTTCACTATCTTCCTTTAAATTTCTTCTTAAAAGTTTTATGTACTGTGAAGCTTAAAACAATCTCAGTAGACAACAGATATATTGCAGGTATATTAATGCCAACACATATCACAGTAGTACTGTGTCATTGCATTTGTACTCTGCCATAATTTCTCTGTTGTCTCTTTATGTAGAATTTAAGCCATCTATATTTTGTTTTGTGTTTATTCATGGTCCAGCGTAATGTGAAGTGGTCCAGGGTAAGGCCTTCCAACATTTATGGTAATACAAATAAATAATAATAAATACCTGCTGGATGCTGTAGTGTAGCTGTTAGATTCTGTTGTGCCTAATGTCACATCATATTTAGTGCAGAAAGAAGGTTCTCCAACTAGAGGCCTCACAAAAGGGAAAGAAGTGAGTTGCAGCCCACAGAAAAAATGCTAGCCTCAGAGGCCTTCTCAGCTGTCAAAGTCAGTAGCTACTGGCATTGTATCCTGAAAGCATCCCTCTCTTCTCTTCTCTATAGCTGTAAGAACAGATTCTCCCTCCTCATATAAGGAAGTAAATGCAAATATCACAAAGTTCTGCAGTGTGTGCAGAAGGTTAAAGGACTTTTTATACTTCCATAGCATCCTTCGTTCGTTCCCTTCCTGACACAGCCTCTCTTGGTACAGAAATCTTGAATAACCACAACCGTGCCATTTGTCAGTCTTTTTTTCAAATGCCATTTGATTTTTTTTTGAGAAGAAACTTAGGCTAGTTTTTATTTGGTATCTTGGCACATTGCTATCTCATAGTGCTCTGTTTCCATTGTGCCCTGAGGGTAATGATTCTTCAGAAGAGTGTTAAGGATGAATTCCATTAGAAATTCCCCAGGTATGTCACCCTCTTTCTGTAAGTGGGTCTGCATGTAACCCTTTCCTTTCTTTCTAAGGGACGATGAAATGTCAGAGTATAGGTCATACAGAGATGATGGAATGTTTAATGCCTGGCTGATACAGAGATGGTAGATTAGACTATGCAGACAAATGATGCTGTATGTACCAAAGAAATTATAGTAAAATAATTTTATCAGAATAAACAAAAAAGCTTAATTACAAGTGGTTCTGTAACTGAATAGGAGAATTTTAATAAGAGCTCTGGGCTAGTTGATGGGATGGAGACAGTTGCTGTGAAATACTGTGGGAGACTGGAGAGGCTGTACAACCCAAAAGCTTGATTGTAGCAAGAGTCCTTGGTTATATATGTACAGACTGGATAAACTTAACATTCTGCTACATTACACCATCTTGCACAGGCTGTGTATTTAGATATCATCAAGAACTACTTTTTGGGCAAACAAGCTAGAGAATCCAGAAGAGAGGGACAGCCCTTGATTTAGTCAAGATCAGCACACAACAAATAGAAGAACCATTCAGTAGTGAGATATCATATTCAAGTTTCTCATACTTGTAGGAGAGAAAAAGATTAAAATAAAATGAAAAAAAGACCCAGTGTTGTGTAAAAAAGAATTGCATACTAATGAAGATACAGTTTAAATAAATATTAAAAAATTCACAGGAGCTTTGTTTTCTGAGTCTAACCCAGTTGAATAAGAACTATCTTACACAATTCAACAGTAAAGGAAATTACTAGAAATTAATAGAGCTTTTTTAAAAAGTTACA